GCACCTGCTTCTACCAGTCGCGACCTCACCTCCTCTAGTCCTGCTTTATTGCCAGACAAGGTAAGACTTTTGGGACTATTATAACAGGCGATCTGAACATTTTCGCAGCCGTCCATAAATGGGACGATTTCATCAGCTCCGATGCCTACAGCCAACATTCCCAGTGCATCGCCACTCGGCTTCTCATCCGCTGATGCCTTTCCTCGGTGGTAGGCGATGATGATAGCCTCCGCCTCTGTCAGGTACCCAGCGGTGTAGGCGGCCGCGATCTCACCAGACGAGTGGCCAACGACAGTATTTGGCACAATTCCCCAACCACGAAGAACCACAATCAAAGCGAGTTGAAGTGCTGTTACAAGCGGCTGGCTGAATTCGGGTTTCCGCACATGCTGCGCATCTCGAGCGGTGGTCAGCTCCTCATACAGAGTCCATTTCGGTGGGTCAGGTAAGCAATGGAGGACGCTGTCAAGATTCCTGATTATTTCGCGCGCAGGCTCAAACGCCTGGAGTAGCTCACGACCCATCTCCGGCCATTGAGATCCCTGGCCCGTGAAGAGGAAGCCGACCTGAGGCGGCCGGGCGCTTTTCTTGCCAAAAGTAACGAGGGCGGGTTGCGAAAAGTTGGGGCTATCGGTAACCATGTAAGCTCGATTAAACAGATGACTTCTTCGAGTACCGAGCGTATAGGCAAGGTCACGCAGTTTGATCTTGACCTTTTCATCCTGCATATGCTCAGTCATGTTTTGTATATAGCGACGGACCGATGCCTCATCGTTGGCTGAAAAGCACAGCAGATAGGGCCGATTAGTGGTCGCTTCTTCCTCATTACCCGGGCTATCATGGAACGAGGATGTATATGTCGGTTTATACTCTTGGAGGACTACGCTTGGCTCCTCAAGGATCGCATGCGCATTCGACCCACCGAAACCAAAACAGTTGACGCCAACACGGCGGAATGGCATGTCGGGAAAGTCGGTGACATGCCGTGAGGCTTCTAGTTTCAACTTCTTGAAGTCAACTGCAACAATTAGCAAAGATACAGGAAGTGGATATGAGACATACTGTTGGGATTCGGTGTGAGAAATGTTGGGTTTCCTGGAATCTTCCCAGTCTCGAGGACCATTACAGCCTTCAAGATTCCCGACAAGCCTGCGGCTGGCTCAGAATGTCCAATATTACTCTTTATCTAGTAAAATGTTAGCTTCCATTATCTGATTTCGTGTGCAGGTCATTTCAATGGGCGCTCCAACCGATCCTATTCGCAGTGGTTGATCATCTGGTCTGTACGGCGCAAAGACCGAGGAAGCACCTTCGGTCTCAATCGGATCACCAACCAGAGTGCCGGTTCCATGGCATTCGAGGTATCCGATCTGAGAGAAGTCTGTTATGTTTGCATTTGCGTAGGCCTGTCGCACGGCTGCGGCCTGGTCGTCGCCGCTTGGAGAGGCAATACCCGGAGTGCGACCATTGTGGTTGTTTGCGATTCCTCGAATGACAGCTCGAATTGGGTCGCCGTTTTGAAGTGCATCATCGAGTCGTTTTAAAATGACCGTATTCATACCTTCCGCTCGCACATAGCCGTCAGCCTTGGCGTCAAAGACGTGGCAGCGACCGGTGGGAGAATGTGTATATCGGATTGTGCCACCTAGGTCTGTTAGTCACGACTGCTTCAAGTAGTGGAATAGCTGCATACCTTCGCAAGCATATTCCGGACTGTGCAAATTAGCATCATAGACATGATTGGCGCAATCGAGTCGTCACTCACTTGAGAATTAGGCTAGATGCCGCCACGATCGCTCCGTTGATCTCTCCAGTATGCAAAGCTCTGCAAGCGACGTCCATAGCCACTAACGAGCTGGAGCAAGCGGTATCAATGGGCATGCTGGGACCCTTGATGTTCAAGAAATGGCTCACTCTGCAACTCAACATCGTTCCGGAGCACCCAATACCTACGTTGGGCGGTCGCGCATCAGGATCGCGTGCGAAAATATCCCAATAATCTGCTGGGTGTCAGCGTCGGCACAAGGAAAGTGCTCTGAGCCTGATGAATCTACCTCCGGGGTGAGCGCCCACATAGCAGCCATACTTCTCGCCTGATATTGACTCGAGAGAAATGCCGGCATTTTCGAGCGCTTCATAGACGACCTCCAGCAATATTCGCTGCTGAGGGTCCATTGATATCGCATCTTGAGGAGTGATGTTGAAGAATTTGGCATCAAACGCGGCAGGATCCACGGTTTCCATGAACATGGCGCCAGAGGATCTTGAAGTTCGTGGTCTGTCTGAACCATCGTAATGGCCTTTCCGGTTAAATCGCGTTTCGGGGGCTTCTGTGTCTGCCACGCCACCCTTCATCAGGAACTCCCATAAGCGATGGGGCGAGTCATTCTGACCCGGAAGTCGACATGACATGCCCACGATGGCAATGGGCTCTTGGATGTAACATCTTGAAAGCAAACTCGTTGACGAGTCTGAAGTCTCAGGGGTCAGTGCCATGGTGGAAGAGAGTCAAAGGGGGAGGGTGCTGGCGAGGGACGTTTGGTGGATTGTATCCAGGATCAGATCATGAGATGCTGATGAAGGTGAAGGAGGGAATTGACTAGTTAGTCATGCACTACGACCCAGCAATCATTAAACCAGCTCATCGCACCAATTGGAATGTGTTGTCTTGAGAATGGCTCCTGCACGGGAAAGGCGTTCATGGCACGATTAACCTTCACACCACCCCGTGCCCTTGCGTCGCCCTTGCTGCAAACGAGAGGCGGTCTGTTGAAAGGTAAATTGCTTCATTTTCCAACTAGGATACACTGGTGGCCAACGAATCGACATGCCAAAAGCAGGCGGAAACGAAAGCCAACGCCGCAAGCACCACCCGAATTGTCCTCGTGCCAAGGGGCCTGCAGGATTCAGGATGCCGATCTGACGCGGGGTTATCATGACCCTAGACCGCCGCCTATGAGACCTAGCCACGGAGAAAATGGCTTGTTGCGGGGGAGCAGATTCCTTCAACAGCCGGTTGGCCGCTCAAAGAGGGGTGTTATATTAGTCGCTGTTTGGATTGCAAGGTGATCGTCAGTATACGAGCTGTAGACCAATACTCGGAAGAGGGGTACTAGCTCAGCTATCTCCTCGTCGAGGTAGATGAACATTTGCAGTCGATTCTCGCTCGGGTTGGAGAAGTACACGGCGGAAGATGCTGCTCGCCTACGATTTCTCTGGAAGAGTAGAATAGGGAGTTCAGTCGGAAACGAGGCAGAGGGAAGGAGGGAGGGAGGAGTACGGGAGTGAGGGGCAGGATATCCGAGGGTCACGGGAGCAGCTCTCCCAAGCTCTGCGAAGAATTATCTCCGGCTAGCTGTCTCTTATCTCCGCAGGCCTTGTGCAACCACCCACTCTTCCAAGTTCGTCTTCTAAAGTACCTTCTACTTTCACTATCCACTATCCACTTACCACCTGTTCGCTCTTCGACGAGAAGGCCTGGACCAGTCCACACATTCTTCAAATTGACAGATTTGATCGGTGAGTCTGTGACATCGCTTGCGATAGAAGCCGCGAATGGAATAACCAGTATACTCAGCCTTGCGAGCTGCGGATGGAGTGCCATCGACTGACAATCTTTCTTCTCACTATAGTTTCCCCGAGCACTTTCGATCCCACCAACCTCACTCTGCACATCGTGTACTCTAGCGTTCTTTCCGTCGTCGATGAAGTTGACATCTCATTACCAACCCGTGGCTCATATCCTCACATTGACCCGCGATGTGCGAAGCAGCTAACTTGACCCGGACTCGAAAGCGGATCAGAGGCGGCTAAGTCGACTGATCACCGAGATTTCGACTACGTACCCGTGGCTCCCACATTTGAAACGCTATCAAGGACCATGGAGCCTATTTGAGACTGGGTTTGAGGCTTGAAAGTCTACAAGCTCAGTGGGGTTGACGTGGACCATGACAAAGCGGGTATGTTTATTCGGGCTCCATGCCGAATTTGGGGGAGTCTTGCGCGGCGTTGTGGATTGGCCATGATCCCGTCAAGACTCATTCAGTTCGCGGTCTGCTATTTTAGCTTTGTTGGGGCACAGAACAGCAAGCCCCTATGCCTTTCGTCGCGACGAAAGGGACTTTGAGGGTCACGGCCGCTGTGATTCGTCGAGTTGGCCACCGCTCTTCACATCATTGCTTCGAAATGGGTTGATATTGGCCTAGCCCGATCAGAATTCCAGACGAGACACTCTGTCGCTGGTCGCTGATCTGAGTTTGCCAAAATCCCGCTGAGTCAGCGAGCAATGAGCGGGTGTGGCGCAGGCTTCTTCGAGAAGTTCATTCCTCGGATGCAAATAGCCTGTCAATCAAACGAGAGGGGCTGGGGCTGGGGCTCAGCCTACGAGGCTTGTTGTGGTGGTGAGAACCAGACGATCGGCCGTTCGACTTGGTAGCATGCATCCACTCCGAACAAGATTTTCTGCATCGCGGGCTAAAGTTTTTTCCTTATCGCGTCTCGGAATGATCTATATCCGTACACAATTGTTGATGCTTTGTGCTTTCCAACCACGCAAAACCGTTTCAATTCGACGGCAACTCCGGTACACTTAAGTATATTGCTATTGACTGGCATAGTGCATATCAATTCGTGGTATCTGGGTGCGCCATAGCACCAGAAAATGAGAACGAGCAACAGTGGAGCGCAAGCCGCGTGGCCGGTTGAGCGTTCACTGCTCCACTTGACCCTCACGAGCCAACCAGCATCCGTTGCGAACACCAGAATAACTGGGCAGCCTCAGCCCTAGTTCTACCACGTACGACGACAAGAACACCCTAACACGCAGAGGATTCATCATCACTTGGTGCTTGGACTGGGATTCGTCATGGCTCGGGTGAAATCCAGCATGTTCGGTTCTATAGATAATGCAGGTCTCGCCCGCCTAGAAATCTGGCTCCCACTGTTCACCAACCAATCTTCTTCTCGACCAGCCAGGTTCGCTCAACCACTTACCAGACAATATGCAACTACACTATCTGATCGCACTCGGGACATTGTCCTCTCTCGCTGCTGCTCATCCCGGCCCCGCTGCTGATCTACCCTCAACATGGGACTTCACCTCAACTGTCACCGTCACCGTACCTATAGCCACCCCGACGACCGATGTCAACAACGTCAAGGCCCACGCGAAACGCTTTCATGGGGACTGGGTCATTCAGAAGCGAGCCTCGACGACTGAGGAGACATCCTCAACCACCTCTGAGTCGACCACCTCGACGAGTTCAACGTCAACTACGAGCACGACAGAGTCAACCACTTCCACCACCTCTACCACTTCTTCCAGCACCACGGAAGCCACTACAAGCTCTACCACCTCCACAGTCTCCTCCACCACCTCTACAGCAAGCAGCACCACCTCGTCAAGTACGACCACTTCCGCCACCTCACAATCCACTACCACTGCAGCAACCACAACGACCAAGACCACATCGACAGCCTCAACCACCACCTCAACCGCATCGGCCACCAACTCCGCCAGCGCTGCCAAGGCTGCCTACAACCGGCGCGGTGAGATTGCTGCCATCGTCACTTTCACCATCCTGATCCTACTTTTCATCGGCGTCGCCGCGTTCATGTGCACGCGGGATAAGCGCAAGAGAAGACGCATCGAAGCCAGGGCAGCCGCCAAGGCCGCGGACTACTCGATGGTATCCCTGACCGAAAGCGCGCGACCGCAGAGCGAGGCGAAATTTGACCGAGCGTCGGTGATGTTCGCGACGGCACCCTCCCGCAGTGAGCTGGGCTTGAGCACCCCATTAACGCGTCCCTCTTCTCTCGCGACGAGTGAAGTCTTGCGCCAGAGCCCGACCCCGGCGGCTGCCCCAGATACTCCGCCAGAAGCGCAGCACCGCGCTGGGAATTTTGTGTGATGTAGTCGAGAATCATGAGATCTAGCATGACTCATGCGCATGTTGGCGTTCTTTGTTGGGTTGTTTTTTTTTTTCGATAAATTTGTTTCTGAGCGAGTTCTCCTCGTACGAGTCTTTAGCGAGCCAATGCAGTCAGCCATATTGTTTCCCTTGTATCGTTTCCACAATAAACTGCATCTGACAAGATCTTCACATTTTGATCTGAGGTATTTCCCAGCAAGGCAGGGAGTAGAATTGCAGATTGCAACCACTGTTAGGGATATCTCTTCGGGACGGCGCGGAAATATATTTCCCCCTCACGATCTACCATTCAGCGGTGATCTCTCAGCAGGCATACCTGGAACTCAGTATCGTGCCAAGAATTGCTTACATTCTCCATTGATCGAACTTGCAGAGTCTTTAAGTAGAAACGTGCACTTCTATTTCAGTTGGCCTGGCGCCGATTTCAGTGCACCGGTCACATGACACGATGCTTTTCGAACTGGGAACAGCGCTTTGACACCTGAGCATGTTTACTGTCTACATGTCAGATTGAGTCTTCATCATTCTTCATTCCTAACATAACGGAGACCGGACAAAGCCTCAACTGTCACCAAGCAGGTGAACTTCCAAATGGAAACGGTCTTCGAGTTTGTGGATGTCACCTCGGCCCAACAACTCCGGCAGAAGCCGAGGCGGGCCGCGATCCGCTCCCACGCCAGCCGGCACAACTGGCGATCGCATGCCAAGTCCAACGCGACCCAACGACCCTCTCATACTCCGAAGGATGATCGACCTAAAACAGACCCAAGGGGAGATGCATCGGATCTCCGAAGCGGTAGATCTGGGACTCCTCGACCTGTTTCACACCTGCCCATCGCAGCTGGTTTAACCATGTTAGCCATGACTTGTAACATGGCAACCAATATGCTCCATTGAAATAACATCTATTCCATTCTCTAACGTTGTAACGTACAACTAAACAATCACCATTCAAAACAAAGTAGAATCCTGCTTGATCAGCTCAGCCGCCCGCTCCGCGACGGCATACAAGGTGCTGGTCAAGTGGCCGCAGACCTGGAAGGGCAGCACCGAGGCATCGACAACGCGCACGTTGCGGGTGCCGTACACCTTCAGGCTGGGGTCCACGACGCCGCCCTTCTCGCGGGGCATCATGGCGGCGGTGCCGACGGGGTGGAAGTTCGAGCGATCTATTGAATTATTAGCGCCTTCAGAATGCCATGAGAAGGAAGAATACAAAACCCAGACTTACAATTTCCATCCAGCAACCATGCCTTCCACTCCTCATCCGACGCATCATCCTGCAACGGCGGCACCGTCACCCCCTCTACCAGCTCCTGCAGCGGCTGCGCCTTGAAGGTCTCCCGGATGTACCTTGACACGGCAATCTGGTTGTCGATGTCCCAATCGAACATATAGAAGTTGGGGTTGATCGCGGGCATGGCAACAGGATCCGCCGAGGCGATGTGCACATTGCCGCGGGCGAAGGGCAAGAGCGTCCAGGATTCCGAGGAAATGCTCGCACTGCCGCCGGGGTAGTACAGGATCTCGGCGATGGGTACCCGCTGGGTGAAGATGAGGTCGTACTGGACCTCGAACAGCTCCTTGAGGTGCGCGGGCGTGATGACGCCGTGGCTGACCTCCGCAGCGGCGTGGGCGTAGTCGTCCAGCTTCTTGCGCAGGGAGGCGGCCACTGCGGCCGTCTCGTTGCCGTACACGTCGTAGATGTCGGGGTAGACGACGTACTTGGTGCCGGCCAGGGTGGCGTGGGTGACGGCTTCGGCGTGCGTGTTGGTCTGGTCCTGCAGGTTCTCGCCGACGGCTGGGAGATCCACCTGCACGGTGATGTTGTGCTTCTGCAGGAGGGTGGCGTTTCCGATGCCGGAGAGCTCGAGAATGGCCGGGGATTTGAGGGAGCCTGCGGAGACGATGACCTCCTGGCGCGCAGTCACCACGGTGGTGGTGCCGTTGGCGGTGGTGAATTCCACGCCGGCGGCTGTGACGGCTTCGCCCTTACGGGCTTCCTCCTGCCAGACCAGGCGGTTGGCGAAGGTGTTCAGCAGCAGGTGCAGGTTGGGTCGCGCGGCGACGGGCCAGTAGTAGGCGCGGGCGGCGTCCTCGCGCACGTTGGCGGCCACGTTGATAGTAGCTGGGTAGATGTTGATACCGCGCATCTTGCCGCCGTTCACGTCCTCAGACCAGGGGACACCCAGACCCTGGAAGGTAGCGTTGATCGTAGCGGTCAAGTTGTTGGTCGGGATCTCGCCCCATCCCACCGTCAAAGGACCTTGTTCGCCGTTGTAGGAGGTGTTGAAGGTCGCCCCGTCCAGGCGCTGGCTGCGGGTCGGGATAGTCAGGTTCTCGCTCTGCAGGTAGTAGGGGAACAGGCTGTTCCAAGTCCAGCCCTCGTTGCCGATTTGCTGCCAGGCGTCGATCTGCACGTCTTCGGCACGGGTGTAGGCCATCCCTGAACATAACCAAGAACACGAGTAAGCATGTCTGAGAGACTGAGAAGATAATGGGGACGAGCATACCGTTGATGGCGCTGGTTCCGGACAAAGCCTTCCCAGCACGCATCACCATCTGGGATTTGCCGCCATAGGTCTGGTTGACCGTCTGGTACTGCCAGTCGATGTCCGTGCCAAACGCCAGCCCGTAGCCATTCACAGCTGTGACATTGGCGTTGTGCAGCACTGAGTCACCCGCCTCAATCACAAGGACAGACACATTGGCGTTTTCCGACAGGCGATTGGCAATGACCAATCCGCTGGTGCCGCCGCCAACGACGATGTAGTCGTATTCGGCCTTCGGGGCGTGTGTGATGGGCGAGGCCAACGCGGCCGTCAGGGCACTCAGAAAAACAACCGGTTGGAACATGGTGAAATGGATGTCTAAGCCTGGTGATTCCTGCGTGAGTCCACCCGCATCTCCCAAGGTTATATACGTCTACCCTTGAGAGCAAGCGGGCAGTTTCCGCCCTGTTCTTCATCCTCTCTTCGCACCCGGACAAAGATACGGACACGATCGGTCAGCGACGGAATAATTCCACAGGAAGACCGTCACGGGGAGTCCAGCACGCCATTGACGTTGAAACAAAAAACGGGTATCCGGTGAAGCCAACCTTGAAGGTTATCAATCGGACTCCACCGGTCTCGGCATGCCGCGGAGCGAATTGACTGGTTGTGTTTCGGCCCGGCACGGATAGGCTCGAGTCGATCAGGGTCCAGTCCCTGGTAGGATGCTGAGTAGAGTCTAGTCTGGCGGCCTAAAACTTCGTTCTCCTGACTAAGAGTTTGTCATCGGTCCCATTTCCCTCTTCCGGCGTCATATAGATTGCCTAAGCCTGGGACCAAGACACTAAGGGTAGAGTCGTTGCCGTGCTGGATAATCTTCAGGGAAGATGATAAGGTGCTAGTCGAATTGCCTCATAATCTAGTGCATCGCTTCGGAGCTTCGGAGTAAATTGAGTTGATGATAGATTGGCCTTGTCTCACTACTATGCACCATCTCGCGCCGATTTGTGGTGGTCGGGTCAACTTCGGAAAAAATACTATTGGCGAGGTTCTGCGCTGCATCCTATAATCTCCTCTGCAAGAGACCGTCATCGAAGGAACAAAGCATGCGAAAGCATCCGAACCGGCGCTTTTCACATGGGAAGGGAAACCCGTCGAATGCATTGACCCGAGCATTATGAAAGCGGATTGCACCAGATGATGCCAAGTGAGCACCATAGTAGGATCCGGACCTTATCCGGGCGACGTCTGCTCGCAGTCAGCTGAAACTTCGCCGGTCAGATCATTGATCATCGCAAACAATGACGAGTTAGGCAGGCATAGGGTCGGATCGGAGGGGAGTGCAGAGTTTCATGCAGTATCGTGACAGCGCTAGGTAGCGATTCTGCTTGTCGCCACGTGGAGGTGCCGGCCGAGAGTAACCCTCATCGCTCATATCCAGTTCTGGTTGCTGATTATCACAACTTGCTGGCACTGACGGTCTTCCTGAAAATGGAGCTACTCCTTCGTTGACGAGTCGGACCTTATTATTACTATTACGCAGAACCAGAGTCGCAGTGCGTTCGCTGAGTTCTTCCCAACCGGGTTGGCGCCTGATAAACTCGATATGTCCCACGGTCGGACAAGTGCTTTCTTGTCCAGCCACATTGCCAATGGAGAACACACCCGCGGAGATGTTGCCAGCAAAGGACACAATGCGGGGTGAAAGATCGGACAAAGATTGGACAACCTCATGTTGTACTGTACGAGGGCCATGGGCACCACGCCATCCAAACACGAAAGCTTAGATGATCAGTCGTGAAAGTCACTGCATTGACTGGTATGGTGTTGCGCGGGTAGCGAGGTTCATGTAAATTGACTTTGTTGAAAGCCACCGTACATTCCACGCGTGACCCAAGGAACTCAATCATGGCTGATGCGCATTCCTTGTTGGATTGAAGGTCTCGTTGGTGTGGCTCCCCGGGACCATTGGATTGATGAACAACTGAGCCAGCCTCGACGTAATCTCGAAGCAACCATCCGACTACCAACCTGAATCATGCTGAGCCTTCCATTTCTGGGCATCAGCCGAGCCCGTCTCACTGGTTGCACCTTCTCCGCCTGGCGCGGGGTTCATTTTCACACACCGTGGACTTCGTTCCTCGGGGAGCTGAAGGGCTATGATTGTTACAAACAACGTGCCTGAAGGTTTGCACCTGGCTAGGCCTGAGAAGCCAATATAGCCGACCCAATCTCCAATTCCCCGGACAGCATCTCCGCCATCTGCTTTGGATCACCAGTCTCCTCGCAACACGGAATGGCTCTTCTCAGTACCTTCAGAGTAGTGCTGTTGGTGTTGACGTCGCTGAGCCAGGCCCTTCCTGCCCTGCACGCGCGCGGTATGGATCGACGTTCTCAGTCCTTTTCATTCCGTCACTCACCCCCGATCAGACATCTCCCCCCATCAACTCTCCGAGTTCGCATTCTTTGCGCAATATGCAGATGCCGCCTACTGCAGCAACAACTATGACCCCAAGTCCTCAGGGGCGAGGATCCGCTGCTGGGACCGCGGCTGCCCGGCCATTGAGGCCACCAACACGAGCATTGCGCTTGCGTTCTCCAAGTGAACCATTCAGCCATAGTATTCTTCGGTTTGACGCCCAACTGACCGCTTTTGCTATAGTGCCACGATGACGGACACGGCCGGCTTCATCGCCGTAGACCACACCCACCGCCGGCGCATCATCTCGTTCCGCGGCTCCTACTCGGTGCGCAACTGGCTGGCGGACGTGATGTTCGTCTTCACGGACCCCCACCTGTGCGATGGCTGTCGGGCGGAGCTAGGCTTCTGGACCTCGTGGACGCTGATACGCAACGATGTGATCCAGCAACTGGAGCAGCGACAAACTGCGTACAGCAGCTACGAGCTCGTGCTGGTCGGCTACAGTCTTGGCGCGGCAGTGGCGACTCTGGCGGCGGCGGATCTTCGGTCGCGCGGGTACAAGGCGGCGCTGTACGCCTACGCGTCGCCGCGGGTGGGGAACGAGGCGCTAGCGCAGTTCATCACCAATCAGGGCGGCAACTACCGCTTCACACATACGAACGATCCAATCCCGAAGCTGCCGCTGCTGATCATGGACTACGTGCATATCAGCCCCGAGTATCATATCCTCTCCGGCGATAATGTCACCGTGCGCCCCCAGGATGTGGCGGTCTACGAGGGGTCCGTCAATTATGCTGGCAACACGGGCACGGGCTCGCCCTCGCCCTCGCCCTCGCTCAGGGGGTTATCGGCTCATCGCTGGTATTTTCAATTGGTGGATGGCTGTAAAGAACGGGGGTTGCCTTGGCGGAGGGGGGAGTAGCATGCGTTTTGGTGCGGGCGGCATGAGTTAATGATGTTGTTGCTTCTTCTTTTGTACTCTATAAGTATCAGCATTGGAGTCGCATTAGAGTCTATGCAGTCGAAGGATTCATCGGGCAAGGTCATCTTCGGTTCAAGATTGGGTGGGGAAGTATAGTCCATGTACAAGATACGAGGAAAGTGGCGGAGTTGGGGCCAAAACACCACGGCTTGTCAAAGCCTCCGTCCCTGCGCGGAGCATTTTTCCGAGTAGCACCAAACACAAGGCTGACCACAGCAACAGCAACATCCATCCAGCATATAAATCCGTCCTTGCTTACCACTTCGAAATATGCGAAATCGCATCCAAATCACAAACATCAGCACTCTACATCCCCTATCCACCCCCCAAAATGTCCATCCCGGACTCCTTCCCCACGATCGCCTTCTTCGGCAGCACAGGCGGCTGCACCCTCCACTGCCTAGTTCTAGCCCTCCAAGCCGGGTATAAGTGCAACGCAAGTGCGTAACCCTAAAACATAAACACTCCCACCACCCTTACCATCACCACCACTAACAATGTCCAGTCGTGCGCACCCCCGGAAAGCTCACCACGCTCCTCGCCCCATACAACCTCCCGGCCCCCGCCCTCAAAAACCTGCACATCATCGAGGGCAGCGCCACCGACGCCGCAGCCGTGCGCACCACCCTCCTCGCCCCCGACCAAGCCCCCGGCACCTTCTCCCCCAAAACAGTCGACCTAATCATCAGCGGGATCGGCAGCAAACCCAATTTTTCGAACCTGCTGCACCCGACCCTCGAGAACCCGACCGTCTGCCAGGACGGGATGCGCACGTTACTGGCGACCCTGCACGCTCTCCAAGCCGACGAACAGGCGCAGGGTAAACCCAAGCTGGCCGTCATCAGCACGACGGGCGTGGACTCGAAGCGCGACGTGCCGGTCATGATGCTGCCGCTGTACAACTGGATGCTGAAGGTGCCGCACGCGGACAAGAAGGCGATGGAGGCGATGATCCTGGCGGATGCGGCTGTGGGGGAGCAGAGGGCGCTGGCGAGCTATCTGATCGTGCGACCGAGTTTCTTGGTCGAGGGCAAGGATAAGAAGGTCCGGGTTGGGACGGAGGAGCAGCCTGCCGTGGGGTATGGCATCAGTCGCACGGAGGTTGGGCGGTGGATCTTTGAGAATGCCGTGTTGGCGTTTGACGGGCCCGTGCAGGTGAAGGAAAAGGTCAAGGGGATGGGGATTGGGTGGGCCGGGGGTTTTTGGGGGAGGTTGGTTAGTATTACTTGGTAAGTTTGGGGGTGAAGCTGTTTGGTTAGGGTTGTGGTTGGCGATTATGGATGCTGGTATTATGCAGTTATGAACTTGCGCGGGAAGCTTTTACCTATTATCTCGTACTAATCAAGGAGGTTTAAATTGAATCAATTGAATGGATCATCACTGAACTAGACTACGCGTAGCAGGAAACCTACGTGCCGTACTTACTCATTCGTCTCTCGACTTCAACGAGCCACGATCGAAGTCAAAACAGCGGAAGGGCATGGGACCGGACCTTCGAGCCCCTTTCGGGACCCGAATCATACTCGCAGCCGGAGAATCCGCATCGCGATCCTCCCGGCCTGCATCCAGATCCAGCTGCTCCGTCTCGGTGAGCACATACAACACCAGCTCCAGCTCCCCACTAGAACAATCTTGGATGTGGAAGTGGCGCCCGACCTGCCGGCGCCCGCAGCCGAGGCACGACACGAACCCCAGCGAGAGCAGCCACCCGATCAACTCCTCCATCTTGTCCGCATGCACGACCACCGCCACGATGGGGGCGTCCGGCCACGGCGGGAACGCCCAGAAGATGTATTGTGCGCCGACGACGAGATAGTACCGGTACCCGCCCTCTTCGAGGCGGCGGAAGAAGTAGTCGTACCAGCCGTGGTTTTGGGTTATGTAGGTGGGGGTGGTCGGGCGGCTGTCCATTGGGCCTGGTGGGTTGCTGGTTGCGGTGTATTGCTGGGTTTGTGGTTGGAATGCGTAGGAGGTTGTGGTGAAGGGTGGACTCCGTTCTTGATACATCGTGGTTCTCTAAATATATCATCTTCTGGCGGAGTCGACCGGCCAGTTCAGCGGTACTCCGCATTCTATCTTGGACTAGGTGCGGGCTTCTTTGTTGAATTGCATCTTGAGGAGAGCTTCGTCAGGTATTGAAATGTGTTATTGTAGTGTTGTGGATTTTAGCAGTTTCTTCCGGAGATTGTCGTTGGTTAGAGATTTCATACTCTCTGCAGCTCGGGGGTTTCCGAGCCGAGATAGATTGAGTATGGCTGACCTTGTAGGAGTTCCGCAGTAATCTGAGCCTAGCCCGCGCGAGGAACCACTGTGGCTGCTAGTGCTCTACGTCGCATAGATTGATGATTATTGGTGGTCTGTGGTAGAGCTATTGACTTGGTCTGATTTTGGGGAGACAAGCTATCCATTTTATATTACGACATGTGGGATTGATTGGTAGAGGGACCAGTCTTAGGAGGGCTCCGTGCAATTGTTGGTGTATATGATAGACCCTTCCCGGTTACTCACATCATAGCTCAGTGGAAGAATTCACAAATCCACCAGGAAAAACAGTCAAAATCAAAATCGAGATTCAAAGAACTAATTTAGAGTGGCTGTATTTGATGTAAACCCTCAATCACGAATTAGTGATCTTCGCGGGCCGTAGTTTAGCTGAGGAGAAATATATAGAACAGCTGTCGACATATGGCATTACAAGACCGGCTGCCATCTTACCTTGAGATTAGCCCCTGAAAGCAAATTGAAAAGGAAGGACCTCACTGGAGCATCGGTAGTGGGTTAATGCTCGAGGGAATCAGCTCTGTTGTAGTGTAATATTCTGATTGGGAAATTGGGGTGCGTAGCTGACTCGTCCAGGGATTAAGAGATGGAGCTTCGCTGGGCGTTGACCTGAATTTTTACTTAAGTATCCGGACCAGGGATCGTTAGAAAAAGACCAGGCAATTTACACTGTGCTCTTGAGGCTTGTATAGTGTTTTCGTTGATCATAATCTAGCTAAAAGATATCCTTCTAAGCATATAACTGCGACAGGAGACATCCAACAGAAGGGTAAGGACCGGCCGTCTAAGGGCATTGTACGGTACCAACGATCACCAAAATCTCGTATAATTATCGCAAGAGTGTATCGTTGCTACAGGTTCAACTGCATCTTCCTACAACGAAAGAAGCCAGAATAACTCTGCATAATGGAAAGGCCAAATTGTAGTTAGCCTATTCTGGGGTACAGGAGCCACCATGCAATGGAGGTCACTTTCGAAATTTAGGTAAGGCAGGCTTGATGCGACAGATCGTCTCACCAAAAGAGGCAAGATTGCCCTAATTATCCCCGATCGCCTTCAAGCAGCGCTTAGTCTCTACCCCTAGACAGATAGATGCTTTTCAACTACGATACTTACTTAAGGCTCTGCTCGGTTCTGTCACCACACTCGCTACTGAGTTTAGACAGTATTCTCTGATCGCACATGATCGCGAGACAAAAGATCAGTGGCTGCCAGCCATGAAACGTCAACAGTCTCCAACCAACACAATAGTCAAGGCCAAGGCACAACGCGACCACTCTGACCTACGGCCGAACCTCTCCATGTGTTACATCCTCATTCCAGCCGCGGAATGCGCGCCAGACCTCAACGGGATCATAGCGTACCTCAACCGCATCATTTCTCCAACCTTAGCGCTCTGTTGTCGATCCAAGTCAGAGCCCAGCAAGCCACAGATGTATTCCAGGACGCGTACCACTCCTCAAACTCCTGTCATATGGCTTTGAGCCTCACAATGTATGAGTAGTTTGCCTGGCGTCATCAGGACCGAACACGCAAGGGGTGGTGGCTATATTGGGGAACTCCGAAGCCCCGGAATGCAAGCCATACGGCACGCGACGACCTTCTTTGAGCTCGCTGAGAAGTATACAACAAGATATAAACAAGACGCAATGCCGTCTTGTACTCGACTTTTTCCTCAAGCTTTCGTGCGTTCTGCTTGAATCATTCATTTTCAGCCACGCGTTCCCAATATACCCACAGTTCTCCATATACCCAGTGTGCATTGATCTAGTCAAGCTATGAAGCCCCAGACTCTCCTCAGCAAACTCGCCCTCCTGGGCTCCATCCCGTTCGCCCTAGCGGACACCCTCAACATTGTCGCCCACCAGGATGATGACCTCCTCTTCCTGAGCCCGGACCTCATCCGCGACATCCTTTCCGGCCAGGCGGTGCGCACCATCTTCCTCACGGCCGGCGACGCGGGCCAGGGCACCAGCTACTGGCAGAACCGGCAGCTGGGGTCGCAGGCAGCGTACGCGCGCATGGCGATCGCCGGCAACAGCTGGACGGAGACGGACGCGGGGATCCCCGGCAAGGACATCTCAATCTACACGCTGTCGGAGAACTCGTCCATCTCGCTGATCTTCCTGCACCTGCCGGACGGCAACATGGACGGCACGGGGTGGGCGGCGGACAACAACGACAGCCTGCAGAAGCTGTGGGACGGGGCGATCGACCACATCACCACCGTCGACGGGTCGGGCACGACCTACACCCGCGACGAGCTGATCCACACCCTCACCTCCCTCATCGACGAGTTTCAGCCTGACGAGCTCAAGACCCAGGACTACCAGAGCAGCTTTGGCGACGGCGACCACAGCGACCACTACGCCACCGCCTTCTTCGCCACCTCCGCCCTAAACGACGCCAGCTCCCACCCCGATCTGACGGGCTATCTGGGCTACGGGATTAACAACAACCCCGTCAACCTGGACGCCTCGGACATCGAGGACAAGACCAACATCTTCTACGAGTACGCCGTGCATGACCAGGGCACCTGCAGCACGGCGACGGGTTGCTCGACGAGACCCGAGAGCGGGTGGTTGCAGCGGCAGTACACCATCTAGGTGATGGTGGCGTTGTTGATGGAGGCACTGATTTGATGTGAGCATGGGGGTTGGATTGAAGCCCGTATGGATTGTGGGATGGGCCGTCTGGGACGGGGATTACGATGTACACATGTTTAGCTTAGTTGACGATGTCATGCAGATGCTGCTTAGTTAGGAAATGGTTAATGAACGATAGACTGAAGTCCATGTTTGAGATTGGGTAGAGTTGTGTGCATCGCTACGGGGTGAAGGGGGAAAGCATTCCTCGAATGCATTGACACGAGGTAGCTGTATAGAATTCCATTCGAATACTGTAGGGACAATACCCCTGCGTCATTCCACATGCTGCTGATCACTAAGCAGTTCAATCTTCTCAGTATGCTCTTCAATGCATGTTGGTCAAAGTCGTGCACTGGAATGTGTGACCCGTCAGCTTCCTTTCCCATTCAGGCAGAGGCACATTCCATCCATGATCACCCCTGACTCAGCCCATACAATTTCAGGCATAACTTCCGACAGGATTTATAGACCACATCGTCATTTCGATTCATGTAACATTCTGATTGATGTTCCATGCAAAGGAATCGAAAGTGGGACACCACAGCATCTGGTACGAATCCCAAACTATGTAAGTTACAGCTTCGATGAAGGTTGCTACAGTAGACAGGCAAGCGACAATTTGGCAATAGGTAGTTAAAAGGTATAGCTTGCCAGGATCGAGGTTGACATGGACACTTCATTCCCCGGTATTCCTCGTTAGTTGCACAAGAAGACTGGTTACAGCTTCTCCCTCAGTCCAACAACTAGGTTTCAAGTCAAGCGACGTGCGTCAAATCGAGCATTAAAAGACTGGACTACGTAACTGGAATTTTTCCAACGCGGTAGGCCGAGATCAAGATGGCCAGTCAAAGGCATGACAAACCTGATGCGTCTATATCAACCGGCAATCGGATATATAGTTCGTACTTGGCCTTTGTTCAGTGCATCATCTCATATCGTGGGCATTAATTACACAAGGTAAGCCACCAGCACTCAATCAAGATGGTAAAGCAGACACGGGTATTTGAACAACCGAGACTTTTATTTGTGAAGAAGCAATATCTATGGCGCTCAAAATTGGGACCAAAGTTTGTGTGAGCCGCGGTAAAAAAGACCCGAAATTGCCCAGTAGCAGAAGAATGTCGAACAGAGAATGATTGAGTGCAAAAGCAGAGCATTCGGTCACTTGGACCGCATTCGCAGAATAACGTAGATGACGGACGAGGCTCTACACCTAATGCGCAACCTTCTGCACCAATTGCTCGGTCGTCTGGATGGAGTGTTTCAAATGGTCAAGCACGACACTGATGGACTTTTTCTGGCCCGTCATGGAATAATTCACGCCACCCTGAAATTGTTGGAAGTACGTCGTGATGCCAATCTGGGTCTGCCTGAGCCGCGCAAGCGTCCGGCTAGTGAGCATGTCCATCAAAAAGTTATGCTCCTCGTCGGGCAGCTCGTAATTGCCTATGCGAATGCGATCGACTGATAAGTTGCTGGACCTCGGGCGAGCCCGACCGCTAGCTGACAATCTTGCCGAGCGGCTCTTGTCTCCGTGTAAGCTGGGGGAGAGCACCTCGCCCATGGCCAGGAGGCTCGAGCGGCGGGAGTGCTGAGGCGTTGTATGTGTAGTAGGAGTGGGAGGCTCTTGGGATAATGACACACGATCGTAGATGGCCAGCTGCAACCAGCGAAGCACCAGACGCAGACTCATCGCGAGCAGTAAGAGTGCGACGTGGTCCCCGTCCGTGCGACAGAGCGAGCACCCAAGCAGCCCCCCCCAGCGGATCTGGATATCTTGAGTTGCTTCAAGAACGATCGGGAATGCGATGGGACATGGTTCGGCTTCCCGCTTTCGAAGGCTCGACAGAGAGTCGGCCTGCACACTTACGCAGTTGCATTTTTGGCAGGGGATACTGGCGTTGGCCCTTGTTCCCGGCGCGGCGGACTGAGATTGTGGTAGCTGGTACGGCGGCCCCGGGGCGGGGAATGAAGAATACTCTTCTCCTGAAAACGCCTGCATGTTATTCTTTGCAGAAGTGGCAAGTGCATGTCAGTAATCATTCCCGTCATGGGGCTGAAGGTTGCCACAAAGAGAAAGCCGCTGCTGGACATACTGGAACGGCAGAAGACGAGTTGTCCCCAGGTTCAAGCAAGTAGGTTCTTGCCAGAGAAGCAGGTGCGCTAGAAGACAAATTGGTATGAAGGTCATGGTCCGATAGAGTCGTTAGAGGTGGTCTGATGAACTCGTTGGCGCGAGTCGTTGTCGGAACCTCAAAGTTTCCGCTCGCAAGTAAAGGTGACCCTGGTAAATCCCAGTTCCATGTCTCGGCCATCCCGCTGTCTTTGGAAACATCGGCACAAAAAGAGGAATCAGTTGTTGCAAGGGGAGTTACTGTCTTGTTTTTGGAACCCTTAGGTCGACCGGTACGGTTGGGAGCACTGTAGATGCACGTATGTCTATATCTTGTACACGTCATACAAGGCCGTCCGCCAGAGCATTTCATCTTCATGTTGTGGCATGAGTCGCATGCTAAACGCACCCTTCTCACGGAGGTAGAGTCCATTGTGTAGCTAGCAGAGAGATACCCGTTGAGCTTGTAGCAGCTAATGTCGGCTGAGGGTGTTATCCCAGACGAGGTAGCTGTTCAACAAACACTTGTGAGGAGCGCAAGTTGAGGGTGGCAAAGGCACACTCTAACCTTAGCCTCCGGGGTATACATATCTGCAGAGATCGGACACCTCCGTAAGGGAGACCTCCCTGACAGCTGACGTTTGCCGTTGCACTTCCCATCCATTCTTTCCGTCTAAGATTCCCTGATTTCATGATCCACGACAGAGGACCTACCTCGACGTCAGTGTCACCAATCAAATGTGATGACTCACTTCTCATCTGAGCACAATTCGCCCTGTTATACCGATAGCCACAAAAGAGAGAGCATTTGCATTATCGAGCGCGCTCAGAACCCGCCCCAGCCCACCCACCTGTACGGCCTAGAGACATATGAGCCAACGTCCAACTGCTGCAGCGGTGGCTGAATGTCGTGTGATTGGCCATAAGCTTGAATATCATCAGCCAAGCCCCCTGTCCAATAGCAAGGCAGAAGTGCATCGGTCCTTGCAACTGTACTATGATTTCAACCTCAGCAAGGTGTGCCCAGAAGACATGCTATACCCGCCAATGAAATGGCAGAGAATACTGCGTCCCACCGTGCAGCAACCGTCGTGTTCCCACGCGATTGAGTAGAACGTTCGTGTCAAAGACAGGATGAGTTCGAGGTCGAGGCCTTGAGACTGGCCGGAAAGCAGCTCCTCGCCAGATTCGGGTTGACTCGTGACCCGCACAGGCCCATTGTCTATGTAAGGGGCAGAGCCAGACCGAAGGATGGTAGCATCATCGGTATCTGTCGATTCCAAGTTCCGGAACAGTGTCCCGGTGGGCCAAGCAAAACACACACGGTGAGCATAGATGTTTGCAACTCCACTCAGACTGTGCCTAGGACTCCTCTCATCGGAGTATGCTCCTGCGGGTTTGATTCCCTGCTAACCAGACAGGCTGCGTGTCTGTATAATTAGCTAGTACTTTCATTGCTCACCTAAAGCACTGGTTCTTAGTCAATCGCAAAGATCATTGTGAATAGCGAGTATCTGAGAAAAGCTGTTGGATGGAACTAAGGCATGCGCTTGTTCTGCAAGAGCGTTGGGGCGCTCCAATACTTGCCACAAGTGTGCATCCCCTTGAGGCGACAAGTATGACAGTAAAGACACTGTAGATAGTTGCAGAAAAGGTCCGTGATCCTTGTGTATTGACTGATGCAAGGGATGAGAAAGAGGACTGAGCCGATCACCAATCAGACTCCCGATGCTCTAGCTGCATCTGCCTATTTGCTGGTAGATTTCCCCGAGCATTGTGCTGCAGCTTCCGACAAGCAGCAGAATGAACTTGTTGGGAGGAACTCTTTGGTAAAAGGCCCTTGGTGGCTGCCTCCTGCATAAGCAGCTCACAGCAGAAAGATCAACCAGCGTGTGTTACTCCCCTTTGTGGAGCGGAGCGGGAGAACATTACAGCGTGTCACGTGGCTATCGACTAACCTTCCCTAGTGATTCCTGCTTTCTCTTCTTTACTTTCTTGCTTGATTGCTTGATTGCTTGATTGCTTTGCATTTTGCGTGGCACGAGCATCATCTTACTTACACGTGCACGCATCAGTCATACTCCACAACAAACGTCACTCCAGCTGTTTCATCAGTGGAGACTCGACAGGGTAACCGACCGTTAGCCAGTGTTAGCCTGGATGACGTGCGTTTGGTTGGCGATGGCCTCAGCCTCGGTTGTCCCAATGCCGCTGCAGTGCGGGGAACCCTAACCTTAACCCGTTCCAAATGCCCGCCTGCATGCTTTCTTTCTCCATGGATCAACATCTTCACTCACCGTTCATCATGAGTACTGAGGCTCGAGTTCGCAAGCGCATTCCCAAGTCCTGTAAACGGTGCCATCGCCGCAAGCAACGCTGTGTGGGGTATCCAACCTGCGCGGGATGCGAGGCCGCTAATCAGCCATGCTTGCGCTCCGAGACGGTCCCCTCGTGGCATCACGCTATGTCCAAAGGAGCCTTGGTCCAGAGAATTGAAATGCTCGAATCCCAATTGGCCACCGCTCTCCAGCGCCCATCGCTGGAGCTACACGCAGCTCGGGATACAGCGTCAAGCCATCAGAGCCCGGATCAGTCTGCTGTCCTCTCACTATTATCCCTTGGTCGCGAACCCAACCAGGGCCCAGCATATCTGGGACCGTCATCGGGCCGAACCATCGCGAAGAACCTGGGTGGCATCGTAGACGATACCGTTTGGACCGAGTCCATCCCCATCAATGCTGGTTTCCACCGCACGGAAAGCATTGCCTCGAGTCCCTCTGCATTGAGTAGCACTACATCTCTCCCAGGTTCTGATGGGGGCTCGAAGCTCATCGATGCCTATTTTCGAGATATGCATACTCGACTGCCGTTCCTGGATCGCTCCGAGATCTACCACCTACACCAGACCATCCATCAGAGCAATCATTCTGGGATTCGCGGGTTCGAGACGTTTAAGATCTTCATGGTCTATGCCTTAGGTGCCTCGATACTACAAATGACTGATTCATATGACTCAACCCCCCCTCGCGATTTCTGGACGGCAGCATCGAATTCCCACAGTGCTATCAGATCAAGTTCGACATATGCGAGAATCGAGGCGATCATGTTACTGGTTCTCTATGATCTGCGCTCGGCATCGCATTCAAGTGTGTGGTATACGATCGGCCTAGCAATGCGCATCTGCGTGGACCTCGGGCTACATCGCGAAAGCCAATATCGAGCGCTGCGACCGCACGATGCCCAACTGCGGCGTCGCCTGTTCTGGAGCGTCTACTTGGTTGAGAGATACGTGTGCTGGTCTCTGGGCCGTCCGTTCAGCATCGCCGAAACAGAGATAGACGCTGATGTACCGGCTGACATGGACGACGCTGCCAATGACGATCGGCTGGTCGATCAGATGGTGCAGACTCCTGCGGACCCGACTGCGCCAACACTAGGCCCGAGTCTTCGCAGATTTATTGCTACCATCCAACTCCAGCGCATCATGTCTCGAATTCACTCCGAGATATACCGTGTCGATCGAAACCTGTCAGCATTGATTACTAAGGTACCCCCGTTGATGGCGTCTCTTGAGGAATTTCAGCAGTCTCAACCGCTCATGGCACCCGAGGAATTTACCTTTGTGCGCATGCACTGGTATAACTGCATCCGTATGCTACTACAGCGATTCCTTAGCATTGTCCCCAGTGATGATCCCATGATCCAAAAATGTCTGTTCGTCTCTGGGAAAATGTGCCAGTGCTTCAAGACACTGCGGCAAAGAGACTCATCTGGGTACTCATTTCTTCTAGTCAATTCATTGTTCATGGCTGGATTAACGATGTGGTAAGCTCTGTCGGAATGATTGGAAGAGCGCGGCTGATTGAAGTAGTCTCTGTCTTTTCCGGGCGCCCCATCTCTGGAGCGTGGCAGTGTCGGACGACTTGCGGGCATGCTCCTTGGTGATGTTTATGATGGCTGAGCGAAACACCACCCTGCGCAGATATCGCGACGGGCTGGAAACCGTCATGACGAGAGCCATCGAATTCGTGAATAATGCCACCAACACGCCGACCGACAACATCGCCGATTCGTCAGCAGCCACGTCCGGCGAGCTATGGTCCCACATTGACGGAGTATCCCATCCTGGAGTTCAAGCGACCAACGGGTCCCATAGTCTTCCTGAATGGGCTGATATACCCACTCCACCTCCCGGTGCCGATTTATTTCCCTACGACGGATCAAGCCTACAATGCCACGGATTACAAGAGATGCTAGATAATCTACACTCGTTTGGCGACATGCTGACGGATGATTTCTGGACCGAGCTTCCGTGGGCATCCATGGCAGGATAGCAACGAGCAATGGCCAACAAATGAAGCATAATTCATACATATCATGAACACTATGACCAGGATCACTAAAGCGCCGTTCCACATGTCGAAGGACATATGTCAGACCTCCCACCCTACCAGTGCGCAGGGGATAATGTATCCTCAATACCCAGGTCTTCTCTCCTGGACTTGCTCTCCGGATCAAGATATGGTATTTCACCCACGCCCACGGCCCGGTTCCCACTCCTCGGCCCGAAGCCCTCGTGGTCGCCAGTAGCGGTGTGGAAGACACTGCGATTGTCCCAGATGGCTGGTCTTTGTTAACACAAATCAAGTCACGAGACAATGGGGACCTACCAATGTCGTTGGGCTCGTTCCATTTGAACCGCACTTGGAGATCATGCCCGTGGATGATCAGATCGTTAAAATATTGGAGCATGTTCGCACTCTCTTTGCGACTCAGTTCGTTGATCTTGGATGGGAAGGCGCCTGATTGCAGGCCTCGTTAGCATTATCCTCTGGTTCCAGACGCACCTCGAACTCACCAGCGGGAAAAATCGACTTCCACCCGGTGATCGGATTCGTGCGCACAACCTACACCCAGATCCCACATAATCAGCATCCCCACCAGCCAACCGCATCCATCTTCAGACGCGAAGAAAACAACGACAAACCGGATGAACCGCCACCAACTCATCGCCCACATTGACCGGCGCGCCTCGTTCCCCGGTGAACATCTTGAACCCACCCGCCTGCGCCATCCTGCGGAACCCCTCGCCGACATGCGTGACCGTCAACCCCTCCACAAAAGCTCGATACGGCTTACTCAATCGATCGTATATCTCATACCCGGACGCCCAGAGCGTATCCCCGCCGGTGGTGGGCAACTGGATGAGCCGCAAGCTCGAGAAGTCGGCGGGCGCCTTTTCGAACGCGATGTCGCTGTGCCAGACGGCCGCCTGGCTGGTATAGTCCGAACCTTTGTACAGTTTCTTGCGGCCCTCGGAGTTGATGGTGCTGATCTCGGGGTCCGGGTCGCCGAATTCGCGGGCATCGTTGGTGACGGGGTGGATGTGCAGGCCGTGGGTGGCGGGGCGGGTGGTGAGTTCGCCCAGGCGGAGGATGAGCTGCTTCTGGAGGGCGTTGGTGAGGTTGTCTTGGGCGCGGAAGAAGACTACGCCGCGCTCAGCGACTGCGTGCTTGCGTTAGTGGGGTTGGGGCGAGCGTGGAGGGACGGGGTGGGCAAACTCATAACCGCAAGATCGCGGATGCGCTGCTCTGCCTCGGCACTGTTCAGGATGTCGTCGACGATGTTGCAGCTTCCCTTGAGGAATTCATTGCCGATCACTGGGGTCACCATCACCGGGTTGAAGGCGTCCAGGGACCCGCTGGACTGGATGCGTGGATGGGGCGCCATCGCGGTTGCTGTTTGTCTTCCTTCGCTAAGGTCACTGTGGTGCAATTACACAGATTTCCTTAGGAAACTGCATGTCTTATCTATTTATCGTAGAATATAATTCTGGTCGCGAGAGGAAGCTGGTGCTCGACCGCGCGCATCGGCTTTCGGCGTTTAGATAGAGCTTCACTGCTGGGTGGGGCTATCGCCGACTCCCGTCGTGCCCGCGCAGCCAATCTTTGAGGTGCGGCGTGGCACCATCTGAGCGTGGATGCGGTGATATTCCAAGCTTTACGCGTGATGAACGGCTATTTCTGCTATAGAATATTGCACAGACATCCTGGTCGACTTAGGATATCGTAGCGTCGGGGTGATGTTCAGACTTATGCGGCCTTGTGTGCCGCCTTGTGCATCTATACCTGGACTGCGGGCCATGCCCTCAAGTGAATCAGCTCAGTGGATCAAGCAGACTGGTGGTCTATCACCTGTCAGAGAAGGCAATCAAGAGCTCCAAGGGGGTTGCCAACCCTTCAACCACTATTTCGAGTGTATGTGCCACCACTGATGAGAGCGCTCGTCACACATATGCTGTACCTAGGTCTGACCTGAAACTACCATCATACCGAAAACAGACTGCCCTAGAACCCCTTACAGATCGAGTCTTCAGGCACTACGAGCAAATCACAGCTCATAAAATCATCTGCATTAGTGAGTATGTCACATATCCCATCAGTATACCACCATCCCATCATTATTACATCCCTCGCATATCACCTCCAAGCATTAGTATATACAACCCGTCCAGTGCTTTACTATACACCTCATCACCACCCCCATCTTGCATCCGTTGAACTGCTACCCTACAACGCCGAGCTGGTTATGTTGACCGTCACGTTGCGGAAGGTGCACCCCTCCGTCTTATACAGACTGGCATAGCGGCCCTCCAGCACGGCCGCCACAAACGTCAACGCAGCAGCGTGCCCATTGATCTGGTCGGCGGAATGCCCGCCGACCGTGTTGCGCTCGTAGAGGATGTTGGCGCCCACGCCGCAGTAGCGGGCGAGCAGCACGTCGGTGTCGCGGATGGGGCTGACCTCGTCATTGACGGCCTTGTACGCGTACAGCGGCAGCTGCGGCACGCCGTGGTAGCCCATGTAGCCGTCGCGGTTGAGCACGTACTGCACGCGCGGGTCCTTGAAGGTGTCGCTGCCATTGACAAAATAGTTGTAGATGTTCTGGCCCGCGAAGAAGAGCTCCGACTCCGTCAGCGGCAGGCTGCGCGCCGCCAGGAAGGTCGTGCGGTTATACGGCCCTGTCGGGTTCAGCTGCGAGACCAGGAAGTCGTAGGTCGTCGGGTACTGGCTAGCGATGCCGAGGATGGCTTCGGGGACGAGGCCGGCAGATAGTGTGCCGGTGACCGTGTTCATCACGTTGGTGATGTTGGGCGTCAGGCCGCCCAGGGCCGCGCCGGACAGGGTCAGTTCCGGGGCGTATTGGTTCTGGAGCTCCGTGGCCCATTCGCTGGCGAGCGCGCCGCCGGAGTAGCCCCATAGGGCGGTGCGGGTGGTGGCTGGGCCCAGGGCATGGAACTGGGTGACCCGCGGGTTGGAGGCGGAGTACAGGATGCTGCGGATCGAGTCGAGAGTCGCGTGGCCGGATTGCACGCCGGCGGTGAAGGAGGCCAGGGGGCCTTCGTAGTCGGGCACGTTGACGTACCAGCCTTGGCTCAGGGCCAGGGAGACGTCCGTTGGTGGGGAGCTGTACATCGTGTAGCTGGGGCTGGCGTCGAGGTCGTTGGAGTCATAGGCGATCTGGTAGGAGAGCAGCGCGGTGCGATTGTCGCTGGCCGTGCTGGGGTTGGTCGGGATGAAGACCGTCGTCACCGCCCACGAGGGGTGGTATTGGCTGTCCGTCGTGCGGTAGACGATATTGTACGCGGCCGAGGCGTTGCTGACCAGCGCCGTCAGGTTGCCGGGGGCCGAGCGCAGGCGCAGAATGGTGCCGGGGAGGGTGCTCTCGAAGCCATTGGGGGCGCTGTAGAAGGGGTCCTCAGTGGGAGGGAGCACTACGGACGGGCTGGTGGTAGGCAGCCCGTAGACAAGAGGGAGAATACTCCCGAGGAGAGGGAGGAGACGGGCCGGGGAGAGCATGGCGAGGAGGGGATGGGAGGGATGGGAAGAGGGAAAGAGGAAAAGGTGGGAGAAGAGGGCAAACTACGGTGGCTTGGGGGGGGAAAGCTGTGTTTATGTACTGGGCGCTGACCGACAATCCCCGCAAGGTACGGAGGCACTAGACGGAAGGATTGAAATCCTTGTAGGCGTGCAGTTCAGTCCGCAGCACACCAAATAGCAAAGCCGAATGACATCAACCTTCGTGTCGGGCTTCGGGCAGCCAGTCAAAGTGGGGAAATTCCCTCGGATGGCTCGGATCCATCGATAATCAATAATCACTTTTCGGTCTTTTTCAGCTGCGCAACCACATTGGCTAGTCTAACTTTGCTGAACTCAGCCGCAGGTTGTTGCTTATTATTGCTTGGCGTGGTGTATCGAGCGGGTCTGGGAGAGCTGGAGAGCTGAAGAGCTGGTGGAGAGTTGCAAAGCTACGCAGCTGCGCCCGTTGGGGAGGGAAAAAGATAGCGAGCGATCAGGGCTCCGGCCTTCCCGTGACTCCACTCCAGGCAGAGACTCTCGCCCTGCCTTGGAAGTTGGAACTGCCACCTCTGGTTTCGGACATTATGTCATTTTATCAATTCTGACACAATGAGGGAATATTTACTCCGTAAAATAGGTTTGAAGAGCTGTTTAGAATGGGAAGAAATTCAGAACAATTGATTGTTGCGCCCCAGCGGATGAGAGAAAGGCGAACCCTCCATCCACAGCGCCAAGTGGACCTTCTAGAAGCACCACACAACCCGGAAAAGTTGGATTGACCCGCGTCCAATGACAAGTCTCGTCATTGCAATGGGTTTCTGGTGCGATAAGGAAATGTATCTTGCGACCACCGATAGCATTAGGTCACAGCCTCCGCTGCCTCGGCTGCCGTAACCTGGTTTCCTGCGAGGCACGGCACACACCACAACGTAAGCGTCCGACTATCTTCATTCTTCACTCAATTATACTTTGGGTCGCTGTCCAGCAACCTCACTAAGTCCAATCGGTCAGCGTCTCCGGAACAAGCACAGAGCACAGCGAGAACTCCTGGTCTTGTCAGCAGGGTGATCCCACCTGCATATGGTGTGATAGCGCTAGCCTTCTCCGCACAGCTCCCCCCGCATGCCGCTGCGGTTTTTGTCAAGGATTGTCGGGGCTATCCCTGGTGATCTGACATGTGAATGAACTCAAGAATCGATAGTCTTGATTCTATCAGTCGTGCTCAAATAAGTCATCGATTGTTTGGTCCGCATATCTGACACAGTGCATGTACAGTTTCTCATCCGACATGCAGCAGTTTTTGTCTTGCTGATTGTGCGGTGCGTCGCGTGGGTGGGGCCGGCCTTTCGACACCTGTGACTCTGTCTGTACCCCTGGGGAATATGTAGCGATTTGATGAAGTTTAGGGATGGGCGATTTAAAATGAGTCTCGAAATTCTTGGAGATTATATAATTTGAGTTCTTACCATATTCTTAACATGCGAATTGGCTTCAAGGTTGGGCAATCGCATTGGATCACGTGGCCGGATTACTCAGGAACGCCGAAAAAAATATGCTTGTAAGACAAACTGATAACGGCACCCACTACTTCTATTTGTCTCAAAAGACTTGCCTGATTTGTTGATTATTTGTTGATTACACTCGGCTCAATGTCTGCTTTTGCCAGCACTATTGCATGACACAATCATTTCAACCATGCCAAGTGTGAACAATGAGATGATCAGAAGAAGGCGGGTTCTGTAGAAAAACTGGAACTGATTCTCTCCGCCACGATTCTTCATGAGTGCCCACAAATGTGTAAGAGTACTAACTCCACTCTGGGAAGCACGATAACTCCAGACTCCATTGGTGTTTCATCGCATTTGTGTTCTATTCTCTGGATTTGCTGCACAAGGTTGGCTATGTTGCCCCGGTGGACAAGCCCGAGCCCTTGGTTCCTCAATTCTGGTGATAGTGATGTTGTTGATGATCCCACAGATGTCTCATCCGGCGCTTCATCTGTTCATCGTCTTTTTGCTGCGTGGGCGTGGAAGTAGCAGTGGCTGTAGCAGCAGGAATTGTCTCACGAGCGAGAGCGTTGGGAATGCTCTGCCGCCTGAAGGCAACCGGGATAGATGGGCCACCACCATTATCACCACCGATGTCTGCGGAAGACAATGCAGCCCCGTCGGTGGGCTCCGGGGCAGGAAGGGCAGCTTCAATTTCTTCAAGCAACTGCTCCGCCACCACTTCGGCCTGGTAGACGGCAGAAAGTGGCAGGTCCCGCTGGAGCACGGACACCGCAACCTCGCGCTTCAGTCAAGCGGCGGAGAGAACATTGTCCGGGAGATTGTCGGGATAACTCGGGGGCCTCGCATATTCCTGCCGCGGCCAGTTGTAAGGTTCAAAAAACATCCTGGTTCTCCGTTAGATCACAGACGGTAAGAAGCCTCAGTAGTAAAACGTCAAGAGAACTCACGGATCTTCAGGATAGACACGGAACCCAACATCTCGTACCGTGCGGTACACTTTCACGTCGTCTTTCATATATGTGAAAACGGCTAGTTTGCGGGAAGTATCGAGGCCCGTCGGTTAGTTTCCCGATTCCTTGAGAGGGATTTGGATGGAAGATGCATTAATGGGGTTGAAAACGTACGATAACATAGGCTGCCCGGAGTCTGCGAGTCAAAGCCGTAATTTTAGATGAAGTGCTTTCCATCGATAGGGGCCGTAGCTCGAGGATCGCCATCGCTGAGACTCCCAAAAGCCCAGGCAATGGAAGGCTCGTTCGGAACGATTTTCCGCACCTTTCGAAGCGAGGAACAGGGTCTAAAGGTCATACTCAACCAATTATCCCAATCTCCAGCCTTGCGCTCCATTGGCAGGACCGTTCATCCATCGAAGAGCCTGCACTTTGTTTTCAAAAAGAGATCCTAGAGGGAATTCGTCCCTATGTCAAGTGTCCCCGAAATTGTCAGCTGCCTTCTTGCACGGGGACGGGGGCCATACACTTCACAACTAAGTCGCCCGCTACCAACACTAGAAACAACCAGAGATTTGTACTCATCGGCTCGAAATTCCTTCCATCTGTCCTTGAAGGTCTTACCCGGCCTTCTCTGGTAGTGATACACCGTCTGTCCCGACATTACCTTGTCCACCCCCCAGCGCTGATTGTCGCACACCTCATCAAACCCTGTTCCATAGCGGCAATAGTATGTCACGCTGCAGTCTCGATCTTTCTTGCCGTACTGCGCTCTCTGCCAGCCGCCCTTGGCGTTAATTAGAGAAGCAGGTACATCCTCAAACTCGACGGGAGGGTGCGTCACGATTCCCGGGCCCATGGCTCCCTGACCAATATTTGCGACAATTCCTGCATTGTACTCGTGCGCAACCTGGATGTTATCCTCGATGCACATGTACGCCGACTCTACCAAGTCATCGAAGCCATATCTAATTCCCGCGAACGGAATGCCACTATCAAAATCTGCAAAAGAGATGCCAAAATCAGATCGATCATTCCTTGAGATGACGAGTAGACTTGTAAGGAGGCAAACGTACGAGTGGCTAGAAGGGCAGGAAGCAGGAGTACTTACCGAGTAAGGCATTAACGGCTTCGATTCCAGTCTCCGCATCACACAAGGGATCGTTCTTCCCGAGCGGCCAGTACCCATACTTGCTTCCTCGTTTTCTCAGATGGCCAATACCTTCACCATTTTCCTGTTCTTGCCCAATTACAACTTTCAACAGGCTGGATCGGTGGAGATGAATATGGCATTCTGTGCAGTACTACGTTTGAAAGGCTAACACAGCCACGTCTAACACTCGCGCTAGATTCGATCAGGTCGCATGCAAGGCCACCTTCGTGACCCATTGCGAAGATAATCTCGACCGAGTCAGAACGGGTTACGGCTGGAAGCCGCTGGAAGATATCTATCGCTCATATCTTGCGATGATTGCGTCCCGAAAGGTAGAAGTCCGGCAGTGGCCCAGCGGCCGATGGGAGTGGAACACTGACACCGATCAACTCGCCAACTCTCCTTTCCAGAAGTTTGGTCCGTGGCGGTTCCATACTTATACTCCCACGGATGTTCAGCTGTCTGTATCGGCCCTGAGAGACCTGCTGGATGCGATCGAGGCTCGCTTACCCACCAACTCCAACCACAGCCAATCCCGATATTAGTATTCCGATGATATTCCCCTGGTCAGACCCAGGTGTCCGCGACGAGGCCCGGATCATCCCAAACAGCTTCGCCAGGGCATTCTGCGACGCCACCGCGACCATCTGTACGACCACCCCCCGACGACGCTTTCGGTACCTGGCCCCGGGGATCTGCCTCCCCACGATAGCAGAGTTCCGCACACAGCCGTTCCGGGATTATGAGTACGCGGACTCGTCCTCGCAGAAGCTGTTTCATCTAAGGTCGATCCGACCCACCTTGTTGCTGGTCGCGGACCCTGAAGGATCACTATCACTATCATCATCACCACCACCACCCCTGACTCCACCAATGGTCATTCCCGACCCCGACATCACCATCAATTCTATCTTGTTCTCACGGCAGCAAGTCAATCTCCCGGTCCCCGCAAGACCCGCGGGGTTATATTTGAGCGGTGATGACAACGACAACTGCGCTTGGAGTCCGGATGCCATCTACTTCAACCATTCAGCATCGGGGAGCAGGGCTGGGTGCGGCGCAGCGACGGGACGATCATGGGCACGGACTACGCGGACGATTTAGATCCGAGACCCGGGACCACGAAGTCGGAACTGTATCAGTGCGTGGAGAGTGGGTGCGTCCCATACCGTCACGTCCCAATTCATCAGGTGCTGCAAAACTGGGCGGAACGGGTGCGAGAGGGGGACTGGGCGGTAGATGAGAATGGGGTGTCGGGGGGGATTGGAAAGTGGAGGGAGGCGGATACAGAGGAGGCGTGCCGTTGGGGATTTATTAGAATAGATGTGTCAGTCAGTACACGAGACGTGTACACGTGTACTGACTGACACATCTAGTCTGGCTGTGTCCGTGCGAGACCTCCTTCATCTCCAGCCGGATAGGCACCTGACGTTGCCTGTCTTTTATCGTCATTACCCACAATTTGCCGCCCTGTACGACCAGGACCTGACGCAGCCGCCCTCGGACACGACCGCTAATCTGATGCACTCGAACGCATTCCTGATGAATGTCCTGGTCGTCGCAGATCTGTCTTCAACCCGATCAACCTCCTGGGTCACGCGAACTGGGCAGGAGGACATCGACCAAGCCTTCTCCTGGATCAGGGGGCAGGCAATCCACCAATCAATCCTCCATCGGAAGGATGAAGTGGCTCTACTGCTCTTCGCTATATGGTTACGTGAGATGCAGGAGTTGGATCTCTGGTGGATGCGCGACCGGGCGCGGAATGAATGCCGCTCGATTTGCGGGATGCTGCCTGCGCAGTGAGGATTGGCGCATTTGCGGGCTGGCAGAGTATCTCACGGAGCGATTAGTGGTATGATTGGCTTTTCTAATTGCAAAGACTGCTCTGTATCTTGGGCGAATAGAATACCAGTAACTGTACTCCGTAATAAGATCTGTAATGACCATCCGGGGTTACATCGGGTATCGGCCCGGGCCCGAAAGATGGAGCCTTTCGCTTGTGCACTCACGTGGTTTTCGATGACCTTTGAAAAAGAGGTGAGTTTACACATTCAGAGTCAGTAGTCCGGATGGCAACGGGCGGACTAACCCTGACAAGATAGTAGAGCTTAACGAGGCCTCAGCCACAGTAGGCACACCAGGCTTCGAACATCACGCTGCCGAGATCACGCTCGCTGGTGGGTCGTTTAACCCTTCTGTTACAGCTCGGTAAACCATTGCGTGACTCAAAACTGATCCTTGTATACTTTACGCTTGGCCGTGGACTGTGTGAGATTGAGTTTTGAGTCATGAGTTCGGGTGTAAAGTCTCCTTCAGTCCATATCATGCCCCCCTTCACGAATTATGTCCGGCAATTCATGGGAGCAGGTCCCTCTAGGACCATTTAACGTGTGCAGAACTCCACAATCGGATCTTCCAGATCACCTGGGCCGCAACGGGAAGATCCCGCCAAAGTAACCCTCCCACCACCTGGTGGGAGCATTTTCAACCCTCCAATGAACTCGCCGTGCGGTACCATCCCAGCTTGGTCAAGTTTTTTCAGCGTGTGTACTATCACCCCGCAGCTCCGGAGTTCTTCTATTATCTCCAGAATCTGAATACTCCGGAGTGCTTGATTGACGAGGACTTCAACGATATCTTTGACGGGAGGGATTGCTACGTCCACCTGCATCGCGCCACAAACTGGAACTCCGCCAATGGCGATGAATGGGATATTATGTGAGATTGGCCCTGACCTCACTCACCACTTCTGCCGAGCAATGAGTCGTTAACAGAATGCATAGATTCGATGATCACGGAGAACAAGGTCGAGGTGCAGGTCAATGGGCAATGGCCCCTGGGAGAAATTGGCACCGATAAGCTGGGTAAAGATTCTTTCAAGACGATTGGCCCGTGGCGAATCCATACATATACCGCTGCCGATGTTGACAAAGCGGTTTCAAGCCTTTCAGGCCCTTCTCCACGAGATTGAGATCCGGTTACCCAGCACCAGCAGCACCAGCACCAGCAGCGACTCGGCTCAATCAGAATCGTCTCCCTCCGCCTCCCTGCCCTGGTTTGGCCCCGCCGTGCTTTCGGAAGCCCGCCTCGTCCCCAACAGCTTCATCAACCGCTTTTGCACCGCAACCAGCACGGCCACCCCCCGCCCGGTCCGCTTCCGCTACATCGCACCAGGGGTCCGCCTCCCGACCGAGGCGGAATTCCGCGCCCAGCCCTTCCGAGACGCCGAATACAAGTCTGCCCTATGGCGTCGGCTTCCCGTGGTCCGCCCGATCAAACCCATCCTCCTCTTCCTCGCCGACGCTCCTCCCGACGCCCACAGTCCGGGGAAGACCGTCATGGCCGTCCCCAAGCCAGATACATGGCTCAACTCTCTGCTCAGCGGCTTTGGGGATGGCAACCGACAATCCCCGCCCCCGCGTCCCGCTGGTCTGTATTTGACGGCCGACAACCGCGATGTCAAGAGTTGCGAAAACGGCTGCCGTCTGCTGCTGCCGTTTGGGGTTGGGGGGCATGGCTGGGCCCGCCGCAGTGACGGCACGCGCATGGGCGACTACGCCTGGTTGGGGTGGGAACCCGGCGGACGCCAACTACGATCTGTACCAGTGCGAGTTCAATGGGTTTATCCCCTGGCGTGACACCCCGCTGCACCAGGTGTTGGAGAGCTGGGCGGAGCGGGTGCGGGCGGGGGATTGGACTGTAGGGGAGGATGGGGTGGCCGACGGGGTGGAGCGGTGGCGGGAGGCCGACACGGAGGCTGGCTGGCGGAAGTATTGGATTCCAGTGCGGTGGTGATCGCCTGCAGGTTCAGTGTGGTTGTATAGGGCACTATCTCATGTTTATTGGTGATCATCGTATCGCTCGGATGAGGTACAGGATTTCGAAAGAAAGATGAAGACGCAATACAGAGCTGCCTGGCTGCCTCTTGATCACGTTGGTATTAATTATGACCCTTTCTGTATTTTGTACTTCTTTGTACTGCTGTTGCCAAATGCGACATTAGTTGTTGACAGCTTGGCTTTCCGCAAGGAGTCACTCTGGCTGGGGATGCCGTAAGTGGTCCGTGCGCAGATGCCCGGTCGGGTTCAGTCGCCAGCAGGGAGGCACCAGAGCGGATGTTAACCAGATCTATAGCCAAATGATCAGATCTCAGAGCCGATGAGTAGGCCATGAATCCCCAAATGAACCGGTGAGTTGAAGGTCTCTCGGCTTGTTTTTATTATTTTTTCCCTATTTCCCGCAGGATCATCATGACGAAGTCAACAACGGCGCGGATCACACATCTAAAGTGGAGCCAGCATTTCCACCCTGGACAAGGAAGACACCGTCTGCATAAGACTACATCATATCGGGAGAGACAGGGACAAGTCCCAGACAGGAGTCACGGGAAAACCCGGTGGGTCACCCTCCTCAATACTACCTAGTACTTTGCCACCCCCACAAGCCACAGCACAGCTCCGCTCCAGCTCTTTGTCCGATCAGACCACCTTCTCGTAATCCTTATAGGGTAAAGAAAGACGCAAATACCGTGGCCACCGGCGACAAGTCGCAGAAATAGCATGATTTCGGCCGAGGGGCGGTCAATCTTAACACTGGCCGGATTCCCAGTCCGTGGAGTCTGGGCGCTGACCTCATTTGCATCACATTCCACCGTCTTGTGGCCGTCACTCTCCGCCCTATAATATACCCGATCGCCAGCATTGACTACTATGTAAGATTTTTCTGACTACTCAAACACACACCACACCACACCACACCACAATGCCGTTTTTACCACTCTCACAAGTCCGTCATCTACGGGACAAGCTCCAGGACACGAAAGCGGAGATTTCCACGTGGGGATGCGAGGGCTACGGCGATAACATCAAGCAATGGAGCGATTCGTGCGATGAAGATGTTGTGAGTTTTCTCCCCCCTCTCCTCCCAACAATATCAAGTACGGCCGGAACTGATGAAAGCAGGGCGCAGTCGTCCGAGTGACCTGCGCTGAGGAAGCCGCCACCGTGGTGCGATTTGCGACGCACAACCAGATCCCCCTGGCCGTCCGGGGCGGGGGCTACTCGACGAGCGGCAGTTCGACGGCGCGCGGAGGCATCGTCCTCGACCTGGCCAAACTCCGGCGCGTGCGCGTCAACCCCGAGGCCCGCGTGGTGGCCGCCGAGGGCGGGGCGCTGTGGGCGGACATCGACGTGGCGGCGGCGCAGCACGGGCTGGCGGTGGTGGGCAGCACGCTGAGCCACATCGGCGCGGCGGGAGCGACCCTCGGCGGCGGGTACGGCTGGCTGACGGGCCAGTACGGGCTGGCGATCGACAACCTGCTGTGGGCGAAGGTGGTCCTCGCCGATGGAAACATCGTGATCGCCTCCGAAACTTCCCATCCCGACCTCTTCTGGGCGATGCGCGGCGCCGGCCAAGAGTTCGGCGTTACGGTGGAGTTGGGGTTTCGCGCCCATCCCCAGCGCAATGCCGTCTTCGCGGGCACGCTGCTCTTCGTGCCGGAGAAACTACCCGTCGTTGTCGATTTCGCGAACCGGTTTCAGAAGCAGACGGACGGGAAGCAGGGTCTTTGGTTCGGGTTCACGGTTGCGCCGGCCATGACGCAGTGCTGTATCCTCGTGGTGGTGTTCTTCAATGGGGATCAAGAACGCGCGGAGCAGTTCTTCGCGCCGCTGTTGCAGGCGGAGCCGATTGTCAACACCGCGGGGATGATCCCCTACGACAGTTTGAATGGCATCCTCAACACAACGGACACGCTGCACCGCCGCGGGAGCGATACCGAGGTCAACATCAGCTACCCGCTGGACGTCGCCATGGGCCCCCGGAAATGCATGCGCGGAAGCAATGTCACCCTCCCGCTGGACCTGGGGTTCGTGCAGTCGGTGTACGACGAGTTCAATGGGATGGTCACGAACTGCCCGCAGACCCGGGATAGCAGGCTGCTGTTCGAGCTGCTGCCGAATGCCCAGATCATGAAGGTCCCCGACGATGCGACGGCGTTCGCCAATCGCGGGCCGTATTACAATGTCAGCTGCCTGTTTCGGTGGTACGATGCCGATCTGGATGTGCAAGTACGGCTGTGGCAGGCCAGTCTGTTGGGCCGGATCGAGGACACGGCGGGGATCAAGCGGCCGGGGTACCAGGGGCCGAGACGGGGGACGGGCATCTATGCCAACTATGCTGGTAAGACCACCTGCTCTTGACTGGGTGTAAGGATTCTAACCGGCGATAGGCCACGACGTATCCAGCAAGATACTGTTCGGAGACAACTTCCCCCGCTTGCAGGAGCTCAAGAAGAAGTACGACCCGCACAATACGTTCGACAAGTGGCACCGCATTAGGCCTCCTGTGAATATGCGGGAATAGGGGGCAAATTTCATGCAGTGAAGCAAGCCTGCTACAGGAGGTGGCACTGAGCAGAATTGGGAAAATCTTCTATTCGTGTTGGCCGTGAATTGGGACTCGGATTCGAGACTCAACGACGGTCTCTTTGCCGGTCGGCAATGTATTCTATACCCGTTGTGATATGCACACGCTGCAAAATTAGCTGTCCCAGTTGAATTTATATAAGCTTAATGATTGAATCGATGCTACGCGATTATAGATTAGACAATCTAACCTGAAGTCAACCGATAGTGTAGACCAAAACACCCTCAACACAATACCCGAACCATGCGTCGTTGGCGAAGTGATAGACCAGCCAAACACGAGAATCCCTTTGTTTCCACCCTTTGCCAAGCTATAACTCTAAACCTCGGATCCGAAGCCCGGGCAAAATGCGGAGTCTGGTCGATGGGTCTGGATCGACCGGGGTTAGACTTTGCGCTGCTCGTAATGCCCTACGGTCCACTGTTCGGTTGCGAGTGCATAAGGTTAGGTCAGAGCGTCTGGCCTTAAGGGAACCTCGCCACCGCTGAACCACCTTTTTTGCGGGGTCGCTTGCTCGGTGGAATCCTCCGACCCCCCCTGTGAGCATTGTCCAGAGGAAAGCTCGCGGTTAAGCTCTGTAGCAGCAAGCAGCAGCAACCCAGCCGAGTATCTGTAGTTCTGATATCGCCAAAATGACCCGTCTTTCGTGCCGACGCGCGATCGAGCTGAAAGCGACACTGCAGGAGACCCGGGCGGAGGTGTGCACGCCCGCCGATGCGGATTATGCGGAGCGCATTCGCTGTCTTCAGCTGGGTGAGGTTGAGTCGGTACGTCTGCCTAATTGAAACCTGCGTGATGATTGACCGAGGCAGGGCGCCATCGTGCAAGCCACGACCACCGACGAGGTTTCGCGTGTGCTCAGCTACGCGGCTCACCACCACATTCCGATTATCGTCCACGGTGGAGTTTTCGCGACGAGCAACCCACCGAGAGGAGAGGCCGGCATCGTCATCAGTGTGGCGCGCATGAGCAAAGTCGTGGTTGATCCCGCCTCGCGCACACTGGCCGCCCAGGGAGGAGCGAGATGGGAGAACCTCGTCGGCGTTGCGGGTGCGTTTGGCCTCACGATCGTTCCGGCCACCGGGGATGATACTACAGGTGATGGAGGGATGGAAGGAAGTGGCTGGTTGACGAGTTGCCCTGGCCCGATTATCAACAATCTAGTGAGTGTCAAGATAGTCCTGGCGGATGGGAGTATTGTCACAACGTCGAGCACGGAGAAGCCTGATCTCTTTTGGGCGCTGCACCTGGCCGGAGGGGCGCTTGGTCTTGCCACTGAATTGGTGTTTAGGGTATATCCCAAGTCGAGGCAGCAAGGGGTTACGAAAAGCCATCAGGATGGTGGTATGTTCTACCGTTTCACAGCTCCTTCTCGCAGGGGTTGATTTACTGTACGATACTAATTCTTTTAGGGCCGACGTTCGGACTGGAAGACTCTGGCGAGGACGATCTACCACGCTTGCAGAGATTGAAAAAGCAATATGATCCCTATGGGCTGTTTGGTAGTTTGGACAGTGCCTCCTTAGACACGCGGAAATAGTTCCTCGGTCGGGTTTGGTGATGCTTGGTGTCGATATGCCGACATTTAGCCATGTATACGTACAAAGTCAATACAAGAATCACGTTTTCTCGGCTATGTTGTAACTCGTCTGGGGTATATCAATTCACTACTATTCACACGATCTCTTTCCTTCCGGGCCTCGCCATAATATCCAGACATAGCGGGCATGTGTTCCTGCCGCTCATGACCCAGCCATCCAGACAGCGATCGTGGAAGACATGCTTGCATGGCAGCAGATAGATCAGTTGCATCTTGGTGACAACTTCCAGGCAGATGGGGCTACACATGACGTCAGTGGCTTGCCTTGCTATCGCAGACGCGACAATCCTAAGCATCCGTGACACTCGCTCACCAGAGAGCAGGGTTGTTATACCCCATCAGCTTGCTCCGCTCCGTTTGGATGGAAGCCCACCAGTCCCCGTAGAGATCCTTCACGACGCTTTGCTGGAAGTAGAGCAGTCGTCGTTCCTCCGAGTTGCGACTGGTGTACGGTAGGATGGGCTCGAACGCGGTGTTTGGGGGGGTAAAGTCTGCCTCATAGCGTCGCTTGACGATGACCCTGGTAGCTTATCAGCGTGGAAGTGAGGACTCAGCCAACCCGTCACAACTTACAGCATGAAGACCGTGATCGAAAGGACGATGATGTACAGAATGCAGAGATACAGCGGGAGTTCGTCCTGCTTGGGCGGGAGGGTTCCATACTCGGCGTGGACCCAGGCTGGAGCTTTCAAAGGCCGCGAACTAGGGCTGGGGCTGGGGCTGGTGGCGGGTAATGGCACGAAAGGCGGTGACATGGTTCGTGAGCAGGAAGTCGATGACCTTGTCCACGAGAGGGTATTCGTGAGGCACGGCCGTTCATCTTGATCGTAAAACTGGAGCCTGCGACAGAAGTCGAGGACGATTCCTTGTCTACTTTACGAGCCAACAATCAATAATATAGTGAGTGATCTGGAGGCTGGGGGTGGGGGACTTGATATTCGGGAAGCAACCCGACCCCGGGTCCTGCTCATCATTCTCATGTGATATACGGGGTGCAAGGAGGGGGAGATCATGCTGAGGCTCCAGCTTTTTACTGGAAATGGACTGTAGCCATGGGTGGAATACGCGGGGTTTTATGGTTTGGGTTCGCCGCATCCATACATTGGCCCGTCACGCGACCCCCCACGACAAAGCCGCAAACCCATTCACCGCTTCTCACTTTCCGTGAGCGAGTCTTGGTGTTGCAAAGGTTCCCAACACGATCTCAGTGGGGCTGGCTTGGAGACGAGGGGAATGCGAAGGTCCAGGCAGTTCTGGCCAATGTCTGGGCTGTGCCCGCGACGGCCCACGCCTTGTTCTGCTTAACCAGGGCTCCAGATCTGCCTTCACGAGTAGGGGAGCTGACTGCCCTGACTCACCCATCACGAGGCCCCTCCCCAGAGCTGAGATGTATAAATCAGACCCTGCCAATCGCCAAGGTCGGTTGGCAACCAGGAGATCATTTCCCACAGCTCACATGTTCTGCGTACACCATCATGACCACTCAGAATCATCGACCACATACAGTGTGGTTGATAGGTGGTGGGGTCGAGTCTCTGGTTGCTGCCTCTTGTTTGATAAATGAAGCCAAGGTCCCCGGCAGTCGAATCTGTATCCTGGACTCAAGAGGCCAGCGATCGCCTACTGGCACGATCCGAAATAATAAGTCGACACGCAGGCGGCTGATCACGTCTAGTACGAGTCACTGTCAGGACCTGTCATGCGCCTCAGCCCATGAACCATATCAATCTCACCCCCGCGACGTCCCCATCTTCCACCATGACGAATCCCTTGCCACATGCACCAGAGACCGCACCGAAGCCTTCATGTCGGAGCCCATCAATTTCCTCGCGCATCTCGGGCGCAAACAGGTCTGGCGCAAGAACCGCAAGGACATCCTCCACTTCCTCCTGCAGGATGAGGAAGCATACGAAAGGATGAGCATCCAGCTGGTGTTCGATGAATCATTCTTCGAAACCTACTTCTGGAGGCTATTCTCATCAAGGTAAACCCCGCCTGTCCCTGATGCATCCTTTCTCCGCTGGAGAACCCGATGCTAAAGGGGGTGATGTCGGGTTTCAGTTTCGGCCTGCGACCCTCGCACTCCGCCGTGGAATTCCATCGGTACATCAGCAAATACCTAGACGAGGTCATCGGCAACAGCATCCAGATCGCTGACCCCCTGCAACTGTCCCTGCGGAAGACTGTCCTCCAACCGCTGCGAGCCTACCTTCGCAACCAGGGTGTGGAGTTTCAGAAGCTCCACGTCACCGACATCAACTTCCACCCGGACAGCTACCCTCACACCGCCAGCGGCATTCAGGCGATTGACCCCTGCGGACATCCCATGGTCTTACCCGTGCGTGCAGAGGACATCCTGATCGTGACGCTCGGCTCCGCCGCATCGGGCATCGTGACCGGAACCCCCGCCAGTCCTCCACCGGCCCTCTTCACCAGTACGCAAAGTCTCCTCGACGATCCCAGCTGGGCGCTATGGTCGGCCCTCGCCAAGAAATCGTCGCAGTGCGGCAACCCAGCCTCCTTCTGCACCCATCTCCCGGAGTCCCGCCTGGGGATGTTCGTCATCCACCTGCCGCAAGCCGAGTTCAACGTCCTCCACCACCGCGTCCTGGGCACTCATCCCGCCGCTGATGCCACCATCGCAGAAAGCAACTGGTCCTTGAAACTCGTCTTCCCGCAGCAGGAGCAGCACGAGGGAGATGAATCCCACCGCTCTATCCTAGGCTACGGCTTCACCCCGGACGCACCGGGCCACCACATCAACAAACCCATGCCCGCGTGCAGCGGCAACGAGATTCTTGCCGAGGTCTTGAGTAGTCTCAGCATTCCACCTGCCCAGATTATGTCTCAAGCCAGGACTGTGCCTTACGTCCTCCCGCTGGGGTTGTCACCGCTCCTCAAACGCGACCCCGGCGATCGGCCGGATATCATCCCATCGGATCTGGGGAATCTGGCGCTCGTGGGGCAGTACGTGGAGATCCCTGAGGAGACGGCGCTGATGACCGAGTATAGTGTGCGGTCGGCGCAGCTGGCGGTGCAGCGGCTGATGGGCGGGATGTCGAAGGTGAATGTGGCCGAGGTGCATAAGTCGTTTCTGGCGGCGCGGTATGGGCGGAAGGGTGGGGTAGTGCCTTGTCGGTAGTTCGGTGGTGGGGATTATCTCAAGGATGCTTGCTTCCTGCCGATCGGGAATGAGGGGTTTGTTTAATGTTGGGATAGGGCTTAGTAGGATAGTCGAATGCACAAGTACCCATACCAATTCCTGTTCTTTGGACAATCACACATCCAATACATAAAGTCTGGTGTCCTTCACCTTGTAGACTTGCAGGTCAAATCCAGACTACGATCAGAGAGTGCCAAAGTAAGATCAGACCAGCAATAATACTATCTCCTATTGCATCGCAACTACTAGGTACTCACTTAATCAGAATGCACATATCACTACCACACCCACCTCCCCCCTCACTTCGACTCCACCCTCGCCAACCCCCTAAGCTCACCTCCCACAACCCTAACCACCTCCTCCCAGCCCTCCTCCTCCCCACACAACCTCGCCCGCAGATACGCCCACGTCACCCGCTGGACCACGCCCACCAACTCCACGCTCTCATCCGTCGTCTCCTTAGCATCATACCCAGCAATCCCGCCCAACCCATGCGTGGCCCCCACAATCGTCAACAGACTCTTCGGCGCGGCACTATGTACATACGCATCAGCATGCCACTCGGGCCCACGCACCGTCAAATGCGGCGACGCGTCGGCGTCCCCAACCGCCACCAGCGCCGGGGTGCGCATCGTCGCGAAGTCCGGCTGGCGCAGGAAGGGGTACATCTCGTATGCCTGGGGGCTGAGCGCGTCGCCGCCGTTCCCGATGGGCGTGAGCAGGATCCCTGCTTGGATGCGCGGGTCGAAGAGGTCGACCATGCTGTCGTCGGCTGGGTCCGTCAGCTGCATCCCCAGGAGCATGGCGGCCGTGTGCGAACCCATCGAGTGGCCTGCTACCGCGATGCGGGTGTGGTCCAGTCTGCCCTTGAGGAGCGGGACGAGGTCCTCGATAAGGGTGAGGTGGTCGAGGATGAGTTTCATGTCTTCCACGCGAGAGCGCCAGAATAAGGGAGCGCCCTCGACTGAGGAGTCGAGGCTGAGGGACTTGGAGCTTAGGTGGGTCGGTTGCAGGACGATGAAGCCCCGCGCGGCCCAGAAGTGGGCCAGTGGGCCGTAGCCGTTCAGCGACGAGAGGTGGTTCGATTGGCCGTGGCCGTGCGAGAGGAGGATGATGGGCAGCTGAGTGTCGCCTGTGGCTGGGGCGGTGATGCGCATGTGCAGGTCGATGATGCGGTTCGGGGCCGGGAGGATCACTGGGCTGATGGAGATGGTTTGCTCGGGGGCGGGGACGGCGATCTTCGCGGCTTGGCCGATCAGGGCGTGGTCTTGCATCGTGCGGAGGTTGGCAGGAGTGGTCATCTTAGAGATTGGTCTTTGTGTCGTCTTTGTTTTGTGAGCGCCTGGGTAAATATTGATTGAGTGCATTTCGATGGAACGACGAGCTGTATTTATATTCATGCTTTGGCTTAGTTGTGGTAGAGATTTGATGCTATCCGACTGTATAGTAGAACCAAGACACTAAGCCCAGACAGGAGAATCTCGCGGGACCCATGATATAACTCAAGTAGCCACCGGGGATAGCATCGCAGGTAAGCAAACCTCCCTCGGATCTTCTCGTAGATCATCATGGATCCAATCGAGCTTGTCCCGATCGGGCAAAACCCGCGAGCCTTTACTGTCGGAGTTAACTCCATTCCAAAACCCGGGGGGGTCTGTCTCATCTCCATAAACTCCATTGCTTAGAAATTGCAATCTCATTCTGGTAACTAGTTACATCAAAAGAGTATCAGTCACACTAGCAAGCAAGCCGCATAAAACATATGTAATGACAAATGCGCACGCCAAGCGCCAGGCCAGGGCCCCTTCATCTGATAGCATCTCTCGACTGCCTTGCTCTACCCCCGTCTCACCATACCATAAACGAAACACATGGTTGCATCCGTTGACATGACTCCTTCAAACTCATATTGTCCAATCCCCCTCTCCAAGCCTCGTTCTGTATCCCTTTCTCAGCCGAGAAGCCGCCAAACCGCCTTCCCCGCAAAGACCGTCGAATAGATTCCCGCGGAAAGCAGCCCCATCCACTCGCAAACCAGCAGCACCCTCGCGTATGGATCGAAAAGTTCTTGGATCATTGTCGCCGCCTCCTCACACATACACAGATCTTTGCGCATGGAAAGCTCGTCTTTCAGTGCTCGGGCCCACATGCCGTTCGCAGGGAGGGTCTTCCAGAACAGGAGGTTCCACAGGTAATCGGTCGCGATGGTCGAGTAGAGTTGCGCGAGGTAGGTGGCCACGAGCAGGCCGCAGCGGCCGTGGTTGATCAGGTAGGACACGCTGCAGTAGAGGAGGAGGCCCGCGGCGAGGGGCGAGGAGCCGGTGATGGCAGCGAGATAGCGTTTGATCGGCGGGGCGAGGTTGGTGGTCATGATGAGGGTGAACACGAGGACTGCGATCTGGTTGATGAGGATGTAGATCTGGGTCATCGTGGTGGCTGTGTCGAGACTTTGGTTTGATTATGATGAGTGGTGTTGATCTCGGTGAGTGGGATGTGGAGGTGGTGAAAAGTTGTAGAGTAAAGGAAGAGGTTGATATTGAGCTGGCTGGTGATGACCGTTATGTGTGCGATAGTTGGAGTGTGATGTAGGAGAGATCTGTTCTTACGATCCTCGCGGTTGGGAAGAGGCTGTAAATATGAATTTGGCTTCTGGTTGCGATATTCACTCGAAGTACCAGGAGGACGATGTCCTTCTCATATGGAGGGTCCAGCCACCCGTGGTCATCAGAATTTGATGGCACATGGGGACCAATCTCCCTGCCATATAGATGAAGATTGTTGAGGCAGAATGGTGAATACAATCCACCTCATGCTACCAAGCCGATGTATCCAGTACCGCTCCCACTCTTCTTCTTTGCCAGCCTTCTGCTATATCCCAATGCCATCTTTCAAGCTCGTCTTTTCAATTTCCTGCTAGTGTAACTGCCGAAGAAATCTAGTTATTCCCTAAGGGTTACGCTGCTGCACATAATGAGAGGGCTGACCAGGGCAAAGTGACAAGAGCGAAGTACTCCCTCGGCGGTTGGGTGCTTGAATGCTCATTCACAGGCGATGTACGCATCCCCCAAGAATCCGAAGGATTTAATTTTCGAGTTGGGCGCATGGTTCGTACCTAAAACGGTCAGCAAGATCTCATGTCGCTGAATGGCACGGTGTAAAGTCATATTGGGAGACAAAATGTCGAAAGGACGGGAGAACTAGCGCGGCTTCCCAGTTTATATACCCCTTGCAACAAGTATATCGCATCCATGCCCTAAGTAGATATTATTTGATTTTTTTGAATGCCATTTTCAAGAGCACGGAGTGTTAAGCATCTTTGGAGATCCTGTATAGTCCTTTTCCTTTTCATTTTTTCTTTCTTTTCTTCTTTCTCGACTAGCGTTACCATTAGCCTCTATTGCCACCCGCGTCAGGACCAGCCTATGTCTTCATCAATAGTGCGCTGGGGATGAATCATGTTTAGGCGGACAAGAAATCCATGAACATCGAACTTCAAGGTTTTGAAGAATGGGACCAGGGCAATTGGAGCGAGTTCGAGCACGAATATGGAAGCGTAAATACATAGTGACAGTGCATGGCTCGACCCGATTATCTTATCTCCGAGGAGTGATCTCGAGCTCGGGTTCGGTTTCGTATTCGCACCAGACGGTCTAGAGCCACTATGTCGGTTAACTATAGCTCTTTTGACCCAAAACATGCAGTGGACCACAGACTGTTTCGTCCTTGATCTTTCGTTGATACCATTTTTAGATAGTTTTAAAATTTTTGCTGTAGATCTATACACTGCTGCCTGCGCACTCGCAAATTTGGATGCAAAGGTTCCTGTTCACAGTGGACATATATAGTTCCATCTATCTCGACGATGGGTGTTAGACAGAGGCTTCAATCCTACCCGATATCACACGTTTATAAAACAATTCTCAATGACAGAAACAACCCTCTATGCTTATACGCCGTCTGTGACGTGCGCCCTGCTGGCGCTTTTCCTTTTCCTGGGTGCCACCGCGTACCACCTCTGGTTACTGATCCGAAAATGTGCATACTTCTTCACTGCCTTTGTGATCGGCGGTCTAAGTATGAGTCCAGCTTTCTGCCGTCCAGAGACGCAAAGCTAATACCCTGCCATAGTCGAAACAATCGGGTACGTCGCGCGGGCTGTGAGCGCCCACCAGAAACCCAACTACACCGTCATGCCCTACGCACTCCAGAGCCTGTTCATCCTGATCGCGCCCTCGCTCTTCGCCGCCTCCATCTACATGATCCTGGGCCGCATCGTCACCCTGACCGACGGCGACTCGCGGAGTCTGATCCGCGCGCGCTGGATGACCAAGATCTTCGTCCTTGGGGACGTGCTCGCCTTTCTGATGCAGTGCGGGGGTACGATGCACCACCCATACAATACTGCAGATCAAAAACTGACCGTGTCGCAGGTGGTGGCATCCTCTCCAGCGCCAAGACCAGCAGCACGCTCAAGCTGGGCGAGAACGTGATCATCGTCGGCCTGATCGTGCAGATCCTCTTCTTCGGCTTCTTCGTCACCGTCGCCGTCGTCTTCCACCGGCGCATCACCGCGAACCCGACGTCGACGGCGATGACGTTGAGCGTCCCGTGGAGGAGATACTTGTGGGTGCTGTACGCGGCCAGCGGGCTGATTCTGATTCGGTGTCTCTATCGCGTCGTTGAGTATGCGCAGGGGTCAACGGGGTCGCTGCAGAGCCATGAGACGTACGCTTATGTACTCGACGCGGCGCTTATGCTGATCATGATGGGGATTTTCGTGGCGTACCATCCGAGCCAGATTCTCGATCGCGGAAAGAATGTCGCCGAGATGGACCGGCTGTATGATAGGGTTTAGGGTGTGCAGCGTGGGAAGCTTGCGCTGTGTTCGCGGTAGTTATTTTGGATTCTCACTTGATTCGTTTGTTTCAAGCTTATCCATGATCCTGTACCATAGATTTTATTAAAGGAACAATATAACATCTTCAGACAATATGGCCGAGCGGTCTAAGGCGATAGACTAGAAATCTATTCTCTTCGGAGGCGTCGGTTCAAATCCGACTGTTGTCGTTTTTTACTCCAGCTGGGTTGGCTGGGTGGGTCTTCGCGGGAATAGCTTAATGAATTGGACGGACTGTCTGTGTCTCGATGCCTGATTACACAGACAATCGCCGTTGTGGGGACCAGAAGCAAGCCAGAAACGCAGCAATATATTCCACCCCCTGGGCGCCGCCCTTGGGCGAGCCCTGGTTTACCCATAATCTCATGCGTGTACCCGAGCACTTTCAATGAACGCACTCGGACAACCACTGGAGCTGACTAGTTCGCCCTCCTATCCTCCACATGCTGGGCCCTCCCGGCCCACTCAGCCTTAGCCTCCATCGTCTCGCTCTCGGCGCCCTGCACTGACTTGTACGCGATCTGATGCACGGTGTACCAGGGCCGCTGGAAAAGACCATCCAATTCCTCAAGCGACCGTCCCGTCGTATCCTACACACATTCGCCCAGCTAGTTCTTTCTAAAGCTCCACTGGACAAAGACTGACTCACCGGCATGGCGAAGTAAACATAACCCAAAGAGATCAAGCAGATGCAGGCGAAGAACAAAAACGCCCCCTACTGATGCGTCGCTGCCAGCAGACTGGGCATCGCACGGGAGCAGCCGAAGTAGAAGGCCCAATGGAACGCCATGAAGATGGAGACATTGAGCGACCGGATGCGGATGGGGAACACCTCCGACCTGACCAAGTAGGGAATGCTGAACCTAAGGAGAATATGAGGATTATACGGATAAGATGTGTGACGTAGATTAATGACGTGCGTAATGCGTTGTAGGTTGGGTCATGCTGATGCCTTAATCTGATGTGAACGATAGCATGTATGAGTTGATAGCTGAATCGCGCGTATCTGGCACCAGCGTCTGTTGCGATTCCTGATTATGTTCGACCCATGAGAATCCATTCCATACAGACTACCCTAAGGACGCGGCGGAAAATCTCCGGCCAGCGCTGGAAAACTTCCGGGGCGGTTCTCGGAGCGGCGCCGGGTTATAAGGACCACCACGCATGCCAGATGATCCTGTAGCACTACATCCCAGATCTACACGATAATTCCCTGACAGCTCCTTTTAACCTCCCCAGTCAACTCTATCAACACGATTCACAACCCAAAATGGGCTCCATCACCCCACTCCGCACCGGCACAACCCCCCATCCCTACACCCTCTCCAACCCCTTCCGCACGCGCATCCTTGCCGGCGAGATCACCCCCCTGATGTCCATCAAGTTCATCACCAGCAACGAGATCCCGATGATGTGCAAGATGGCCGGGGTGCACGCCCTCTTCATCGACATGGAGCATTCGGCGATGGACCTACACCAGGTGGGCCAGCTGATCCTGGCCTGCAACTACGCAGGCGTGTCGGCCGTGGTGCGCAGCCCCAGCAAGTCCCACTGACACATCAGCCGGATCCTCGACGCCGGGGCGTCAGCGATCGTCGTCCCCCACATCGAGACGCTCGACGAGGTGCACGCCCTCGTCCAAGCCGCCGAGTACGCGCCGCTCGGGGCCCGCGGCTGCACCAATAACCTCCCTGCCTTCAATTTCCAACATGTGCCGACCCGGACGCTGAAAGAGGTGCTGAATCGCGAGACGATGCTGATCCCAATGATTAAGGCCCGTTTAGCCGGGGGCTGGACGATCGTCGACGACAGCCAGGCGTAGGTGGTCGCGTAGACACTGTACGTTCCGCAGTAGATTAAGAAAGTGAAGGCGTAGCGCGCCCAATGCTGAGACTCTGGTACTGCAACCAACAGGACGGCCGCGAGAATGGCCAACCCCTCCGACACGCCCGCGGGAATCGAGCGAGTCTGGCGCCTATCGGCGCACTGACCCCAGCCCACTGCCCAGAAGAAGCTCACAACGTAGGGTGGAGAGGTAAGCAGGAGCACGATGGTGTTGCTGGAGAACCCGATCTCTTTAATCAGCGTGGGGAAGAAGTGGGAGAGGGAGGTAGTGGCCGTCGTGGCCATCTGCATGCACGCAAAGATCCAGGTACGCACGTCCTTGCCGGTCCAGACCGATGCTCGGGACAGGGGCACGTTCTTGTATTTCAGCGCGTTCTCCGAGCCTGCGTCCTCGGCGAGGCGCGCCTGCGCTACGACTCGTTCGGCTTTGGTCGGCCATTTGCTAGTGGCGGGGAAATCGGGTAGAAATGCCATCGGCACGAGGGTCACGACCACGGTGGCAAGGCCTTCGATAATAAACAGCCATCGCCAGGATGCGAAGCGCGTGGCGTGATTCATTCCAGTCAGGATTCCGGCGGAAATGAGTCCAGCAAAAGTGTTCGACAGCAGGATGCCTAACACGAGCAATGCGGTTCGCACTCCAAGTTCCTTCTCTGTATACCAACGGCTGAGATAGAAGATGGCTCCGGGAAAGAAGGGGTCTTGGATAGAACCGAGCAGGAATCAGACTGCCATAATACTGCCGATGTTGCTGCCGTGCATCCGCTCACAATGGCCCAGACAATTATACATGAAGGCTATATATTAGGTCAGCTCCATCGGTCGCGTTTTAAGAACAGGCAGATCAACATGCCAGGTAGATGGAGGGTCGAATTTTGGTCATCAGCATAGTGGAGGGGAACTGCATGAGGATGTACCCGACTGAAAAGATGGAAATAGCCGTTTGATACTCCGCTCCCTTTAGGTAGTTGTTCTCTTGCAGTTCATAGACTCGAGCTTGCGTGGTGGAGTTTCGATCCAGGTAATTAAATAGGTATATAAGCAGTACCAAAGGTAGGATCCGACGATCGATCTTTTTCAGCAGCGCACCCTTGGTCTTGCGAGCAAACTCTGAAGTATAGCCCCGATAGGTAGCCATCACCCCGGACCCTCCGTCGGCTGCACAATCCTCGACCCAGACATTCTCGGGTTTAGCTTCATGCTCCACTTCGTCTTTGCTGAGACTGTGCACGCTCATCCCGAAGATTGGGGTGGAGAATACAAGAGACAGTTTAGATTTCACACAATAGTCGTGAGTCAAAGTTCTATGAAGACATAAATGCAGGAACAACAGCCTCCTCTTCCGCAGACCAGCTTGAGATATTTATCAGGGCCTGCAGTTCCGAGACACTTCGTGGGGATAGGAATCCGGGGAAGTTGGGGGAAGGGACCAACAACCACCGTGGGAGACGGAGAATTGCCGACAGAAACGAGCTCGCAACTTAGGGTTGGTTCCAGACCGAGCGGGGTCGCCTTTCTTTGCGGGATATTCCCTCCACAGCTGGGCATGGGAAGCATGGTCCGCGCCGCGCTTGAAATACCTGGAGAGAATCGATCTCAGTCTATATGCTCGACTGTGAGGCAGTGCGCTTTACCGCCTGTGGGTGCGGCCAGCAGAATCACCAAGGAAGTCGCCGAATCATGCCTTCCTTGCTCCAACGCAACCAGAGCATCTATCTTCCTCTCGATGAGACCATCGTGAAGCAAGATGTGGCCACGACCTTCAGTAGTGAAAGTCGGCGTCAGATCAGAGATAGCAACTTCGCAGACTTCCACCTCCGAAGTTTCCGAGACTGCATGGCCGTCGCCCTGAGCATGCTGCTCTCCGGAAATCACGACTCCAGGGCAATTGCCCAGGGCTATTGCCAATGACTTACACAGCCTAGCTATGGAGCATCTTCCTGCCGTCCTGCAAAATAGTGAGGGCCTTAAAGTGGTCGAGTGTCTGCTGTTATTTATTCACTTCTCCATCCTCAGCCCCCGGGGAGGCTCCACCTGGCATTTGATTGGGCTAGCCATGAAGAAGTGCATCGCATTAAAGCTTCACAAGGAGCCACGGCCGGAGATTAATTTGACTGAAGCAGAGGTGCTCGAAAGAAAACGTATATCCTGGAGTCTCTACGTAGTGGATCGGTTAGTACACTCTGTTCCACGGCTGTGAGAAGCACCGTCTGATCATGCTGCAGGGCTGTCAGCTGCGTTATGGACCGACCGTTCAGTATTGATGATGAAGACATCACTATCAAAGTAAGCTTAATCTCTAGTGTCTCAAGGAAAACACTAAGAACCCGCATGTCCTAAAGGCAATCGAGTCCCCGGAAGGTCATCAGCATTACGTTCTCATGCACGCTAGACTCATGTCAAGAGTCCGCACACTAGCCTCCCAGTCTGCTTCCTTCCATAATCACAATATGCGTCATTGGAAAGACGTGGCTCTCCATGCCAAGGGTCCATCGCCGCTAGACACAGACCCTATTGCACAGCTCACCTGCCGGGGGTTCGTACAGATTTCAAAAGTTGCCCGAACAGCGTCACTGCCTCTTAGTATGATATTTCAAAGTGACCAGGAACTTTAGGAGAGTGTAGCGAATAGTGCCGGCAATATATCGACCAAAAATTCAATCGCTCCCAACAATAATGATTCACAGGGTCGTTCTTGGATTGGTATGATCTGTTCGCAGCGTGAGTACTCCTCGTCTGTCAGCCAGTTTCTCCCTTGAGTGGAGATACTAGCTTCATCAGCAAATACAGTGTGCTGCTGACGTTGGTCGGGGAGCGATTCACTTGCTTCAGGTCGATGTGCAGGCTGCTGTGGGATCTATCCGGTGTCGCCGCACATGGCGGAGGGAATGACTTGGTGAGTCTGCGGCAGGTCTGCACTGGGACAAACACTAATTCTCCGTCTGTGTAGACAGTCGAACAGCTACCGAAGACTTACCAGACGGTCTGTACCGTCTGATCGATCGGTTCCTGCAAATGATGAAGCAAAGCGCCTAGAAGTATGGTACCGGGAAATTCCCGACGGGAGATTTCCGACTCGTCCAGCAGAATGATCTTTACATATACACCCACAATCTCAGGTAATATCTACTACACTGACGCATTGCCTGATTCACTTATCGGCTCCATTGCATTCCAACACAGCACATTGATCATGGTACCCAGCATCGCTGAATCCTCATCCTCAGACGGTACCTCCACTTTCCCCAACCCCCCGTTTACGTCCTCGAAACCTTCCCCCCCAAAGCCATCGAACACGCCCGCATGCTCTTTCATCTCATCCAACCTGGTGACCTAGAGTTCAGCACTGGCGGCAAAATGCCAAGGCCCTGCTGAACCGGGGCTCGTACGTGACCGCCGCCGACATCGCCAGCTGCCCCAAGCTGGTCGCCATCGGCAAGCATGGGGAGGGGATCGACAACGTGGCCCGGGGGATCCGCTCCATCACGACGCAGCAGATGGCTAAGCCCGTCCCGAAGGAAATGTGCAACGGGCGCACGGTGCACGGCAGGTTCATCGGGATCATCGGGATGGGCAACTTCGGCCGCACGGTGGCGGAGATCTTCTACGGGGGGAATAACGCCCGCATTGTCGCGTATGATGCATACATGCCCGCCACCGGGGTCTGGGAGCATCTTCCGCATATCCGCGCCCAGAGTGTCGAGGAGGTGATCACGCAGGCGGATGTGCTATCGCTGCATCTGCCGCTGACAAAGGAGACACGCGGGATGCTGTCCTATGCGGAGATCAAGCAGATGAAGCCGGATGCCATCCTCATCAACGCGGCGCGTGGAGACATTGTCGATGAGGCAGGGCTCGAGCGGGCTCTATCCAAAGGCCACATTTGGGGTGCAGGGCTGAACTGCCACGAGCAGGAGCCTCCAAGTCGGGAGAAGTACGGGGCATTCTGAAAGAATCCGAACGTCATCAGTACGCCGCAGATCGGGGCAGCCACTTCAAGGGCGCAGCTGGCGAGCGCGACTGCTGCGGTCGATAATTTGCATGCTTATTTGTCCACATTATAATATAAGTCGGCAGTTTTCTTTCGCGGTCGGTCTGTTAGAGGCTTGTCTGTTTTTTGTTTTTCTTTTTTTTTTTTTTTTTTTCTCTCATTTCTATATTATGCCTCTTAGCATCAAGTTGCACATATCCATGCATAGTCATCCTATCAACCCTAGAAGTATTTATCGTCTCCTACCCGGTCTGCGCGACATTACTTCCAAAACGACTCTTGTTGCAATTCCGCTTGCAAGAGACTGTAGATTTTTCGGTGTTTCTGCTCCACCTCTAAGTAGTACCTGCTTCGAAACTGATTAGTGTTCACGGAACGTGCCTCGGAGAAAACATCGGGATGTATGTATTAGCTTGATTATGAATATCTCCATCCCGGATCGCTTAAAGAAGGTTGCCCGCTCAACCAATTGGTAAACAAAGGCTCTATGGTCGGCATTCCTTAATTTACCAGACCCAGATTACCTCCTCATGCAATCTATTGCGTTCGAATGTTTCGACCTCAAGCTAATGAGCACTATTGTCGCAAGTGCTTACAGGGATCACGCGGGATAGGAGCTGGTTCCTTGCGAGAGAGGGCTTGGGAGTAGATGGGAACTACAGTTAACGAACCCTGCTTTCCCCCCTTTGCTACAAAAGCTTGTTTGTCCCAGTAGGAGTATTTTACAGGCAAAGGGAGTACAATGTTCCAATTTATTCCGGCCAGATTACACCGGACTAGACGAGACCGAGACTAGGACTCAATCCATGGAAAATTCATCGGAGACAGAGGTGGAACTACAGACCCTGGTCAAACGCTCCGGCGACGCGACCTGTTGTAGGCAAAGGCCCCGGTATTACATAGTAGCGTCGCACCGTTCCTGACGCCCACAATCTCCCCGACAAGCCAAGAGTGGAGAACCGGGGTTTTGAAACCGGTGACACGCGAACATGCCCCAGTCCGTATCCACGCCCGCTCTGCGTCTAACGCAGCAGCCGTTAGGAGATCGGAGCGGAGGGCCGAGCGACATACCATTATATTTGATTCCACAAGCCCCCACAAGTTCAGTAACCCCTTGCGACGCCTGACAGACTCTCCGACTTCATCCTCAATATGCGTTATCCATCCCTTTTTTCCGTGTTGGCGGCGACGACCTGCGCAATTGCAGCCTCGGTGCAGACCGTGCCGGACGAACTGGCTACGGTTGGAGACCCGTCGGTGATTCTGAGTGTCTCGTATGCTGTTAGGTCCACGGCCGTGAAAGTCACCCCCGGCGTGAACCTGAACTCCTCCAGTAAGCTTTCTCTCCCCCACAGACACCATTGCGCATGGAAGTTGAAAGTAACGACTTGTCAGTCACTCACAATGCGCCCACCGTGCATCTGAACGAGACCACCCTCAGCGGCAGCGGACCCTACCTCTTCATGATGGTCGACCCGGACATCAACAGGACCAACCCGCTGTACGTGGGCATGCACACTATGGTCGTCAATCTGACCACGAGCGGCAACACGAGCACCGAGGACGCGATCTGCACGTACTTCTACCCGGAGCCCACGGCGGGGGCGGCGCACAATTACACTTTCTTGCTGTTCGAGCAGCCAGCCAACTTCACCGTGTCCAGGCAGTTTTCGCCGTACCTGGCGACCACCGCGCAGACCCCCTACAACCGGGTCAACTTCCCGCTGGTACAATTTATCAAGGAGGCGGCCTTGGGGGGGCCCGTCGCGGCCAATTTCTTCCGGGAGGCTGCGGAGAGTAATTCGACTGCGACGAGCTCGGGTGCCAGCACCACAACCACTGCCAACAGCACGGCCACGGGGAGCGCAGCGACCAGCAGCAGCACCCAGGAGGGGGCGACTACCAAGGTGGGTCAGAGTGGTTCTTATCTGATGAGTATGGTGGTGGTGGGTGCGTTGATGGTGGCAGTATGATTGCCGGTGAGGGGTGTGGGTGGTCCGACTGTGGCATTTTTGTACTGTACAATTGTACAATAATTCAATGATTAGAGAATTGAGAAGGGATGGCATTGCTTCGCTTGCGCCCGGCGACTTTCCACGCACCCTTCATAGTGTGGGTGGGGAATGCATTAGCAGCCTGCATGGCGTTGGGGCTAGCCTCGCTAGCCCTACTTTAGCCTGCCAGCCCCCAGCAGAAGTCACCAAGGCTTGTCCCTGCTCAAAATGTCTTGATTCTTTCTCGGGGTTTCTCTCCTTCTGGGCAAATTGAATTGTTATCTGTTGTCTACGGAGTAATCTCCAGTGCCATCCTGTCAAACTCAAACTCAAACAACTCCTCACCACAGGAACGTACGATGTTCGTGTAACCCTTCCCCTCCGAGACATCTCCATCCTGTCACGCGAATCCACCGATCTGCATCTCAATTCAAACCCACTGGAACTACTGACAACCAACAGCAAAGTGGATACCAGCATTCCCAGTGTTCCCAGTGTTACACCACGGCCAATGGAGCACTTTGGCCCCCAACTGATCCCTCCAGTCCGCCCACGAGCAAAACCGAGTAAGCCTCGACAAGGAGCCGGGCCGTGCGGTTAAGAGTCTTAGAGTCTTAATCAACAACCAAGATTCAATGCTATTCTCGCCAAATCACCGAACCCCGCCACGTCGGACTTGCCAGCCTGCTCGTCCTCGATTCCCGTTGCTTGGCTGGTGCTTACGCTCGTCTCGGCTCATCTCGTACACCACTTGTGCGCCAGCGCCAGTGCAGCTGCAGTTGCAGGTGCAGGTGCAGGGATACAGTGCCCATGTCCTCTCTGGACTCGTCAGGCTGACGGGACCGGACATGCTGCAGCATCGCCCAACCCCAACACCCATGTCTACCGCACTCCGTCTCTAAGACGCTTACTCCCTGCAGGGGGCCAGATCTTGCATCCCTCAAGCCGCTTGCTGAATAAAATGAAAGCCTCTCCCGGCTGATTGTTGGCCACTGGCCACTGGGCCTGCAGTGTTACTCTTGCTCTGACTGCTTGACTGACTGACTACATTATGGCCGCTTCGTTGCAACTGACCCCCGCGCAGGAGGCAGCGTGGGATCAATCCCGACAGGCCGCCATCCTGGGGGTGGTGATCACGATGTTGGTGCTGGGCAATCTGTCCGTCCCGATGCGCTTTTGGGCGCAGTGGCGCATCCAGAAGCGAGTGATGCCGGAGGATTACTGTCTCGTCGTGGCCTTATTGTTTGCCAACATCGTGTCGGCTGCCTTGCTGGCGGCCTGGTACAACGGGTTTGGGTTGCACGTCTGGCGGGTGGAAATGGAGGATCTGTCCATGGGGCACCTGCGCAATATCTTTCTCGTGAGCCAAATTGCCATTTTCCTTCCGAAATCTCCCCTGATGTCTTCGACTCCACTTCCTAACACTCCAGATCGGGTGATGGTAGAGCTTCTGGATCACCGCCGTCTTCAACGGCCCCTCGCTCTTCGCCACCAAACTCGCCCTCCTCCTCTACTACCGCCGGCTGTTCATCATCAACCAGCGCTGGATCCGCATCGCCTGGTGGGCGAACCTCATCTACGTCACGCTGTGGGTGGCCGGGTCAACAATCTTCTACATCCTGCAGTGTCTCCCCGCCAGTTATTACTGGGAGCGCGTCGACCCGCACTCCACGATCACACATGGGTCGTGCCCGCACAGCACCAACGTCATCGGCGTCCCGCTGATCCTCAACATCCTTTCCGACGTGACCATCCTCCTCCTCCCGGTCATCACGGTGACGACCCTGCAGATGCGCCTCATCCGAAAAATCGGGCTGGCCGCGGTCTTCTCGGTCGGTGTTGCGTACGTTTCTCTCCCGCCCCCGTCTGATATCCATTTACTCTTTATCTAACCTGAGCACGTTGGATAGAGCCTCAGCCAGTGCCCTCGCCCGCGTCCTCGTCCTAGAAGTTGGCACGGACGTGCAATCCGACGCGACATACAACACGGTCGCCTTCGAGGTGCTGTGCGTGGTGGAGCTGAACCTGGCCATCGTCTGCACGTGCGCAGTGCCCATCGCCTCGGTTCTGCGCATGGCGCGGACCAAGAGCCAGCACCACACCGACGGCTACGAGATGTACGACGGCGCCGCCGCCTCGAAACCGGGGCGCAGTCTGACCAAGACGCACTTCTCCACCATCACCACCCACGAAACCGGTGGTGTAGGTGGGGTTCGGACGGCCAGCACCGAGCAGCTGCATTACGGCACCGCGACGACCAGCTGCCCCACGAAACAAGAGGGGCGGTGGGAAGGAAGTTCAGCCGGGGATGCTGCGGGGGCCCATCAGATAATGGTGAAGGTAGATGTAGATGTGCGATAGCTTTTCTCTCCCTTCCTTGGGGTTTGATCATGTATATAGTGGGTACAGCTACCTACCCTTGCGAAGTACATTACTCTTCCACCACACGGCTCCCTAGACACAGTGTGAAACTAGTGAGCCCGCGTAGCACACCACCACAACATCCGCAGATTGGCATCCGCGAAGGGGGCATTTCGATTCTGCTCGATCTCCTCCGCCATGTACAGCCCCGCCTCGACCGTCCAGCCCGTGCCCGTGGCCCGCCCGACATCGGACCAAAACCCCTTGATCGACTCGACGTTGTGTCGGTAGTGCGTCGCCGTTGGGTCCTTGGTCATCCCCGTCATCGCATGCTCGCCCGCCAGCGTGCTGCCCATCTGCCGGCCGGCGATGATCGTTCCCGTGCCCGTTCCCGTTCCCGTGCCCGTTGCCTCGCGACACAACCGCACCAACCTGATCGCCACCCGCAGCTGCACCTCGTAATTCCACATGTGGAAGAGCGAGCTCGCAAATACGACCGAGATCCGGCCCTGCAGGGTGCGGGCGATGTCTCCGGCCTCGAACGCCTCGGTGCCGGGGGCCGCGAGATCGCCAACGGCGAAGGTCGCCGCGAAGCGATCGTGGTCTCGGAAGAGCTGGTACCCCAGCTCGATGAAGATCTGCTCCAAGTCGCACCCGTACAGCTGCGTGGTCGGGATGCCCTGGTCGGCGAGGAAGCGCAGCTCCTGGGCGAAGCAGCACCCCGCGTCGAGGAAGCCGGCGGTCGGGTTGGTACGCAGGTGCTCTAGGATCTGGGGGTAGAAGGGGAGATGCTGCAGGTTGAAGGAGAGGAAGCGCATTTGCCCGATGCAGGCGTATTGGTATACTTCGAAGGCTTCATTGCGCTGTTTGCGGGGAATATTATTAGGTGGGTTAGGAGGGGCGGAGAGGCGGAGAAGCGAGGGGCGAGGGGCTGTGTCATGGAGATAGAGGGGCTACGCACCACGGCTAAGACGTGCGGAATGACTTCGTCGGGGCTCAGTCCGCTGTAACTCTCCAGGACGCGGCGAGCATCCGGGTTGATGCTCTCCACGTGTTCCTGGAACCAGGAGGGCTTGGGGCGGGATTGACCGTCGGCCGTCATTGTGAGTGAGGGCTGAGGTTAGAGGCTGAATGATAGTTGTCGTTGTTGCTGTTATAGACACGGAAAGACGCCGACCGTGCTGCCGTCAGACGAGATAAAAGAGGCTGACAGGGGGCGGGGGGGGAAGATTTGAGGTCCACCGGCTGTGATCTGAGTGGGGGAGGAGGAGATGCAGGATGGCACTCATTTGCCGAATTAGGGCTTAGTGAGGCCGTACTAAGACCACCGACGTGATCAGCCTAAAGCTAAGCAATCCTGTCAAAGCGCTAACACTCCAAGCCACGGCCAGTCTGCTCCAATCGAATCATGCAGTGAAGCCGTCAGGCTCGCCACTTCGTTGTGAATTGTTCTGCAGCCAAAATGCAGCCTCCCGAGACGAGTTCTTCACCGTCACGGGCCCATCGAACAAGACTCACCCCCCAAATTTCAAGTCCCACCATGTGAGGCCAGCATTTTCTTCTGAATCATTGTTTTCTTTCTTGTTGCCATTCCTCCGCAACACCCCCCTGTCACAGATACAGACAGGGATTCCTGAATATCCCTGCACATCCCCACCGACATCATTCCTAATGCATCCTACGGGAGAGACAGCATTGGCCAATGGACATGGCTCGTCCTCGTCGCAGACAGACGACGAACCCACGAGTCTACCGGCTATCTTAGACGCCGCGGCCAGGAGTTCGACAGGAATCTGCATCTATTCCCCCGGAGAGACGAGCGGAAGTCCGACGCGATGGAGCTACGCCGATCTCGCTGGTCGCGCCCACGAGGATGCATCGTTACTCCTCCACCAGGTTGACGACAGCCCCGTGGTGCTCATCCACCTGGACAACCATGCAGACAACATCCGCTGGTTCTGGGCAGTGGCCTACGCCGGTCTTCTCCCGGCTCTGTCGACGCCGCTCTCGCAAAACGCACCCCAACGCGCGCAACATCTACAACATCTGCACGATCTGCTCGAAAACCCCCTAATCCTGACCTCGGCCACTTTGATCGCTCGGTTCCCGGAACTCCAGCAACCGCGCACTCTGACCATTGAGCAGTTAGGCCACACGACTCCTAAGCACGATGCTACAACCGCGCGGTCGCGTCCGCGCCAGGGGACGGAATCAGCAGTGCTGATGCTTACCTCTGGCAGCACCGGTCATGCGAAAGCCGTCTCTCTGACTGTGCCCCAAGTGGTGGCCGCCCTGCGAAGCAAGAGCCGCGCAGAGACCTATACCGGTCGCTCAATCCTGTTGAACTGGATCGGGCTGGACCACGTCGCCAACCTGTTGGAGATCCACCTGAATGCGATCTTTACTGCTTCGGAGCAAGTGCAGGTGCAGGCGCGAGATGTGATCGCCGACCCCTTGGTTTTTTTGCAGCTCATTGAACGCCATCGCGTATCCCATACCTTTGCGCCCAACTTCTTCCTGGCTCTGCTACGGCAGCAACTTGCCGCTCTGGAGGAGAATAACGGGCTCCCAGCCATTGATCTCTCCTCTCTGAGGGCGATCGTCACCGGGGGCGAGGCGAATGTAGTCGAGCTGGCGCAGACGCTCACTCGGCAGCTCGCGCAGCTGGGCACCGTCGACTCTGTCCTCTGCATCGCCTACGGTCTCACTGAGGCCTGCGCTGCGCTCACCTACGGCCGGTTCGACCCCGTCTACGAAGCGCAGCAGGAACACGAGTTCGCCTCGGTGGGAAAAACCGTCGACCACGCCCGGGTCCGCATCCAACCCTCTCCAGGCGTCTCCGCCGCTCCGTCAGAGGTCGGGGAGGTCCAACTGTCAGGCCCCGTGGTCTTCAGCCAGTATTACCGCTGTCCGGAGGTGACCCAGCGCGCCTTCACGACCGATGGCTGGTTCCGCACGGGCGACCGGGGATATCTAGACGCGGCAGGGCGACTCAACCTCGCCGGACGCGACAAGGAGATCCTGGTGATCAACGGGGTGAACTACTCACCGCAGGAGATCGAGACGGTGCTGGAGAAGGCGCAGATCCCGGGCCTCTTGCCCGCACACTTTGCGGTGTTCGCCCACCGACCGTCGGGCAGCGACACGGAGGGCTACTGCGTGATCTACAGCCCTAACAACCCCATCGCCGACCCCGTCCAGCGTGACCGCACCGCCGAGAGCGTCGCCAGCATCGCCAGCACGATCCCCCACGTCCGCCCCAGCTGGGTCATCCCCGTGCCTGCCAACCGGCTCCAGAAGTCCTCCCTGGGTAAACTCTCCCGCACGAAGCTCCAAACCGAGTTCCTGGCCGGGGTCTTCGACGCGAGCATGATCCGCTCCCAGGGCCCCATCCAGTCTGCGCGCACCACCCCTCGCCAACCCCCCACCACGCCCACCGAATCCGCCATTGTCGCTGTGCTCGAGACGATGCTCGACCTCCCCGCCGCGGTCATCTCGGTCGACAAGACCATCTTCGAGCTGGGGGTGACCTCCATCACGCTGTTCCGGTTCGAGCAGCTGCTCCGCGCTCGGCTCGGCTTCGCCGCGGGCGTCTCGCTGATCACCTTCCTCAACAGCCCCGTGGTGCGCAACATCGCCTACACGATCGACCACGCGGCCTCGACGCAATACAACCCGGTCGTGCCGCTGCAGACGCGCGGCGACAAGCCGCCCCTGTGGCTCGTCCACCCGGCCTCGGGCAACGTACTAGCCTTTTTGCCGCTGGCGCGCACCCTGACCGACCGACCCCTCTACGGCCTCACGGCACGGGGGCTCGACAACCACGGCCAGCTGTTCGAGAGCATCCCCCAGATGGCGGACACCTACTACACGCACGTCAAACGCGTGCAGCCGCGGGGGCCGTACGCATTGACGGGGTATTCGCTGGGGACGACCGTGGCCTTCGAGCTGGCCAAGCGACTCGAAGCCCACGGCGACGAGGTCGCCTTCTGCGCCGCCCTCGACTCGCCGCCGCACATCATCCCGCTGGTTCAACATCTGGACTGGACGCGCGCCGCGATCCGCGTGACCTATTTCCTGGGACTGATCCCCCAGGACTCGGTCCCGCGCTACGAATCCGACCTCGCCGACTTGCCCCGCGACCAAGTGATCGCCCGGTTACTGGAAACCGCCTCCCCGGAGCAGCGCGCAAAGCTGAGCCTCACCCCGGAGCAGCTCACGGCCATCGTCTACGTGACGGACAACTTCGGGGAGATGGGGCGCAAGTACGTACCCAGCGGGACGGTGCGGAAGATGGACGTGTTCCACTGCATCCCGCTGCATTCGGTGTGCGTCGACCGCCGCAAATGGATCGAAGGGTTTCTGGGGGCCTGGCAGCATTTCTCCCGGGAGGAGGTCGGGTTTGTGGAATGTGAGGGCGATCATGCCGATATGCTGAATCCGCAGTTTGTGGAGGGGTTCGAGGCGAGGTTGAGGCGGGTGTTGGAGGAGAGGGGGTTGTAGGTGCTTTTTCCCCTCCACTGCTGTTTCGCTATTCCAGTTCGAGGATCTGGTGACGTCTATGTTTTGGGAGGTTTGGTCTTTTGTAGGTGATGTAATGTTATTTCTTATCAGTAAAGCTGCGATACTACCATGTCTATCTCCAGTGGTAGTTGTTATTTATTTCTTTTACCGCTATTCTTGTAAAATTCATTGATAGTTTTAATTCTCTGTTCCTCGGCTATTGGAATCTGGAATAAATCAACAGCACCACCGATTTTCGGACCTCGCGGTCCTCGACAGGAACAGATTCTACTGCCCTTGCAGCGGCCACTGGACCAGCGTCGTGGCGTTGCCCGTCAGCGTGAAAGACAGTACCGCCGATCGCTCGTTGTTCAACGCCAGCTCGTAGGGCCCCGGATAAATGACGCGGTTGCCCTGCGCGTCGGTGCGGGCGAGGCTATCCAGCGTCACAGGGACTGACATGCGCTTTGACGCCTGCGGATCCAGTGGGCCGATGCGGTCGAATCCGACGAGCCATTTGTTTGGGTGCGGCCGGGGGCCGGCGGTGGTGTTGGCGAAGATCATGGCCGTGTAGTCGGAGACCACCTCGCCGGTGTTGGTGACCTCGACGGTAAAGTTCAAGACGGGGAGCTGCTCGGCGAGGTTGTACCCGGCGTGAGGCCGGGCCAGGAGGGCGCCAATGTCGAAGGAGCGTTCTTGTTCTTGCCCAGGGCCAGCGAGGGCTGTCTCGAAGGTGGTGTAGAACAACCCATGTCCGAAAGCGTAGACCGGCTCGCCCGTGTACCACATATAGGTCTGGCCGGGGTTGTCGCCGCGGGGCCGCAGGCTCATGTCGGTGGCTGGGAACTGCAGGGCGTACTCGGCGGGATACTGCGTCGTGGTCAGTCGCCCCGCCGGCGCTCGCTGGCCGGTGAGGATGTCCCACAACGCCTGGCCGCCAGCCTGGCCGGGGTATCCGCCCCAGAGCAGGGCCCCGACCTTCTGGCTGGCCTTCAGCGAGGACGAGTCCACTTGGCCGCCGCCCATCTGCAGCACCACCAGCGGCTTGCCGAGTTCCCCGAGCCGGTGGATCAACTCCAGCTGATTTCCGGGCCAGGTGATGTTCTCGCGGTCTAGTTCCTCGGCCTCCAGGGTGTTATCGATCCCGCCGGCGAAGATAATGACATCGGACCTCTCTGCAGCAGCTAACGCGGCGGCGAAGCCAGTGGTGACGTTGGACGTGATGTTGGTGCCGAAGGCATAGTTGACCTCCAGCCCGGAGGCCTGCACCGCAGCGAGGGGGCTGATGAGGAAGGGTGCGACGCCGTAGTAGTTGCCCAGCATTTGCTCTGTGGCATTCGCCCACGGTCCGATTAGGGCCACCCGCTGCACGCCCTTCGAGAGCGGCAGGACGCCATCATTCTTGAGAAGAACCGCCCCGGCCACCGCCGCCTCGTACGCCACATTCCAGCGGTCGGTGCGCACAACATCCGACCAACGTAGATCGCGGTACGGCGCGTCCGGTCCGTCAAAGTACCCCGCGCTCACAAGATTGGAGTAGAACCGGGTCACCGCCCGCTCGATCTCGCTCCGGGATATCTGGCCCTGGGTCAAGGACTC